GGAGGGGCCGCTGCGACAGCTGCTGCTGTAGGATTTGCTGCTGGCTCTGGGGAGTGGAAGGCTGTCTGTCCCCCCCCAAAGCGTAAACTTCCCCAACGTCCGAAACGATCGAAGAGCTTGGAGGAGCCGGTTGAGTATCCATTTCATCTACTGCGAAAATTGGATAATAGGGAGAACTCGAAAAAGAAGTCGCTTTATGCTCACGCCAGCACGTTCGTGCTAACGGCTTTTAGCCCGGCCTTGTTTTCCAAAGAGGCCTTCCTGCGATAGTCTTTATGGATTTTTGTATGTATGTGTATATGTGTATGTATGTACGTGTATGTGTGCATGTAGGCGTGTATGTAAGCGTCGGTGAAAATCGCTGTAGAGTAGGTCTTGTGTTTTGGACGTGCATACGTATATATCTATGTATGTGGTCCTCGACGACTGCGTAGATGACTTTGCCCACCTTCTTCGAGCCGCCACATGCTGCTGCAGCGGTGAGCGCTCAACGCGAAACACACCTTCTTAATTTCTACAGAGAAGACGTACAGCAGCTGGCAACGCCACTTTTCGCCAGAGTCTGTAAGGCCTTGAGCCTTGTAGGGGGCACCCGCACTTCCGGCTAGGTTATCTGGAGCGCAGACTTGGGCTCTCCCTCAGGATCTCGGAGCGCCTTTGGACTTGGGAATAAGCCTCTAAGGAAGGTAAATGGACTTCTTTTACCCTCCGAACACTTGAGTTCGAGCCGGACGGTTACAGGGCATCCAGCGCCACACTTTTCAGCGATCAGTGCTCCTGACCGCCCCGCTTAACCGCTGCACAACTTTACTGCTGTGAGCTCGAAGGAGTGCTCGAAATGTCAAAAGAGGAAGAAAAAGGCGTAAGATGACGCGCAAAAGGCAGACTAAAAGGCCTTGCAAAGCCGCCGATCCGGCTCGAGGGTGTGGTGGGTCTTTCTTCCCTGGGGAGCGACCAGCGGCTCGGGAGGCGCCAGCGTAATCTCGGCTAAAAGGAGAAGTATGCACAGAGAAAGGCCAAGAAAGAAGGCGCGTTTTGAGTGCCTCGAGATGTGAAGCGTCGCGAAGAGACTGCTTGCCCTTTACTCAACGAGACTAAGGCGGTGAGGCTACATGGCATTCGCTCTCGCTCTCCTTCTCGGCGCGCCCTGAAGCGACTGAAGGCGCTTTCCCCTGGAACGGCTCGAAATTGGTAGATCACCCCTGCAAAACTCCTTAGTAAAGCAGTGTTTCTTCATGCGCAAGGAACGAAGAGAAGAAGGCAGCAAACTAAACACCAAAACAAAGGGGTGGAGCAAGGCAGAGCAGCCCCTCTTTGCCACGCCACGCCCTGGTGGCACTGGGTAACACTTGCGAAAAGACCCCCCATTTCACCGTATTTTACCGACGAATTCGCACACAGTCCTCATTACGAGGCGTTTAATCCGCGATTGAAGCGTGCGAGTCCATCTACAAGACGAGATACGGGACAAAGAGACTCTGCAAGGTCATAAGATTCTTCCACCCCACGTTGCTTCTGACAGCGCCACACTGTCTTGAGGCAACGCATCCACACACACACAGAGAAATGGCCCCTCAGTGCCCTCAAAAACAGTCAATTCTCCTTCTTATTTTCTCCTTCATTGGGTCGACTAGGGCGTAAAGGCTCTTGCCCTCCTTCCTCCAATGCCGCGCATCCCAGTAGCTGCGCTCTCTCGCGCTCTGCCCCCTGCTTCAAGGGCCAGAGTAAAAATGTGTGTGAATCCCCGACTCTTTTGCTTTGTAATTCCAGTTTGAGCCATGGTGTCTAAAACCAATATCATTTATTTGCATTAATAAAGGTTTTCAAGGTCCTATTTCGTGCTTGTTTGTCCTAATTTCGTCCCAGGCCTGAGGGTCGACCCCTCACCGCGCAGGCAGCGTTCTCTTACATTGCAACAGGAGGCTTAAAGGGCGTCGTGAGCGGTAAAGAAAGAGGAAAATGAAAAAGCCACTTGAGCAGGTGCCCCTTCGGCGCATCACAACATATCCACACACAACACGGGCCATCTCGTTTGCTTATTCCTCCAACACCAGTCCTTCTGTGTAACGCGCTTTAGCATGCGCAAGTGCTGCCTCTGAAGCTGTCGTTTCTATGGGCTGAAACAGGAGCCAGAGACTCCTTTAAGCCGACCGGAAGGTCTCCCAGTTGCTGACCAGTCGACAGTCTCTGTGGCGGGGTGCACCCAAGCCAGCACGAGCGTCTCAGGGAGTTTTCCTTGGTAAGCAGCGCACGAGGCTAGAGAACCGAGCAAGCAAGGGAGTCAAATGCGAACTAAAGAACGCTGAAGGGCAGTGAAATGTACAAAGTACGCACAAGGGAGAGGAGCCTTTTGGGGCCCTGGTGGGTAGCTGAACGCTTAGGAGTCCATACACAAGACTCGGCTGTAGAGTCTTGGTGTAGGGTAAAAGAGGAAGGGGAGGAGGGGTATGCCAGCAAACTCTCCCCTCGACGAATTCGTTAGAAAGGCTATGTGTGCGACACTAGAACGAGGGGAATGAAGGCTCCACCCATCACGTCCTATAGGCCTCGAAGTCTCTTTGCTGAAAGCAATTTTGTGTGAGCTCTTCCGTGCATCTTGCTGAATTCACAGCCTCAGGCCTATCCGAGTTGAGCTCAGTACACAATTAGTTTTCGCTATGTTTCCAACCTCAGATACCACCCTAGAATGCTTTCCTGAATTGCCACTTGGAGGCGGAAAGCCAGCACAACCCAACCCCCATCCTCCTGCCCCCGAACCACAGACTCACACTGGTAGTCTTCTAATACGCGGCTTCCTCTTCTTCACTTTGCACAGTTGCTGCGGCGTCTCGTGACACTGCCATGGCCTCGCTAGAGCCACATGCCTCGGCGGCTAGAGGGCAGGCTCCCCCATTCTTCTTGGCTGTGCTTCGAGGCCTTTGCGCGCACTCCCCGTGAGAGGTACACGCAAATCGGCTAAGCCGGGAGCTGTCTGCCCTATCCTCAAACAAAGCACCCAATATCAGAGCTAAGCCCTCAAAGCTACAGGCCCCAACTGCATCAATGCTCTACCCGAAGAGCTGCATGCAGCCTACGCCGCCAAGCGCTAAACCGACCGACTCCCCCACACCCCCTGGCCTCACTCTCGCGACGGCAGAGCTCCTGCGAGGCGCAGTGTGCCAAAGCACCTGCCGCACATGACAAGTGCAGCCACAGCGGCTTATTAATCCCTGCCCCTCAAGGTCCAGGTGCCTGGCCTCGATCTCATCCGACAAGCACAGTTTTCAGCCGTTGCTCTGCGCAGCACACCTGCTGCTTAGGGGACGTTGTGCAGTAGTCTATGTGATAGCGGCTTTCCACTGATACGTGCCGTCTCGGGTTCCTACTCAATCCTTATGCCCGATTCCCTCGGCAACCACACACGCCTTAGTACGACTGCCTCGGAGTGTACAGGGCCCCCCCTCCCCTTCGAGCGAAAGATGCGTGGCAGCAGAGAGCATACATACTGAATGCGACGATGAGCTTTCTGTTCCCGCAAAGCTGCCTACGTGGCAGCCGGCACAGCCTAGAAAGAAAAACTGCTTTACTGACCCCCGTTGCCCCCCCTTTCCCCCCTCTAGGGGGGCAGTCAAGGCGGCAGACGGACGGACAGACCGGGTGAGATAGCTATGAGGGGAAGAGCTGAAAATGCGCGAAGGAGGAGATGTTCTTTTGTGCCTTGCCCCTCCACTACAACATCCAAGAGAACGCAACAAACAGCGCGGATGCAGAACTGCCATGCAGCACGGCCGACGTTGAAGACCCGCAGCAGCAACAACACAAATTTATATATCTAGAGATACGGCGCACACACATACACACTCCGAAGAAAAAGAAGGCAAATGGAATAAGAGAAGGCAAAGAGGCTGCAGCCATCATCAGGGCCACATGGAAACACGAAGCTGCACTGCTGCCCTCTCCAGAGCAGCAGGCTTTTTGACTTGAACGGAGATTCACAAATCGAAGAACCCGTATCTCCGCAAGCCTTGGGGGGAAGGGAGGGATAGCGAGGGGAGATTTAACCGACATAGAGGACGCAATGCAAACATGCAAGCGACTGCCGTAGGCAAGGCTCTTGCATGGACACGATATCCTAAGGAAGAGGCAAACCCACAGGCAGCTTTTGCCCTGTGCACAGGAAATTTTCTCAGAAAGTCAGCCTTATCCGGGAATTTTTCGAACTCTCCCGTGCACCCTCCCCCTCGCCCTCCCCACCTTCCCCATGTTGTGTGGCTTTCGATCATCTCGGCAAGACAGCTTTCATGCAGAAACGGAGGAACCTTTTCGACTTTCAACAACGTGAAATATATATATACATATATATATGTATATATATATAGGCTCGGGGGCTTGAGCAGCACGATGCGGGCAACAACCGCCGTCATCAGAAATCCTACCGCAAGGTGGCATCCCCCTGGCTAGAGACGTTTTGCTGCTGGGGCTCGGGAGGTCCTACATATATATATAAATATATAAATATATATATATATAATGGCGATGGTAGACACTGCCGGCACGCTGCGCGCGGGGGGAGGGGGAAGAATGGGGGATGCTGCTGTTGCTGCACAAAAAGTGGAAGGCAGCCTGGAGTTTTTGATTCAAGCTGCTGCACAACTTCCGAGGCCAGTTTGCAGCGTGGTTTATGGATGTGTGTGCCAGGGGTAGCCTGCGCGATAGTGCCTTGATGAAAGGCCTCCTGGAAGGAACTGCGTAGAGGGCTTCCAGCTGGAAATAGACAACCCCCAGACTAAAACCGCGCCTCCCTCCCTCAAAAAAGCAACAATTACACGAGCTTCTTGGAAGTCACCTCGCGTCTCTAGAACGTGTAGGCACACACACAGACACACACACAACAACACATGAAACTCCTAATCAGAGCCGCAGGAGTGGTCGTCCACACGAGCGCAAGACAACCACTTCAACGACACACACACCAAGCGCTCTCAACACAGCAGCAGCAGCACCAGATGCAATTGCAGTGCCTATCTACCATACCCATCCTCACAAATCCACGACTGCCAACACCCGTATAGACATATGTATACATATATAAACACATCTATACATACATATATATGTACATGCATACAAATGGCATTTTTCTTTTTTGCATAACACACAGCTGAAAGCCCCGTGCCTACAGCGCCTCTGTACATTATATGGACCCTCTCTCCCTCGACCAACCAAACCGTGAGCGTGCAGCGAGCTTGCTCATGCAACAACCGCCTATCTTTAGGATCTGCGAGCTTCTTTCAACGGCTGGCACGTATTCTACAGGTCAGCTCAGGCAGGCGGAAATACATTGTAGTAGCAGTCGGGTTGCTTCGCTGCCCGTTGTTCTGTGCGGTGTACGCGCAGCATCCCTCTGTTGCGTCTTGTCCGATCTACGGGCATTTCGAGTCGCCCCCAAGCCACCCCGCCGAAGAGCGGTCCAAGATCTCACCAATTTTCTGTCTCTGTATAATCGGTAGAGAGGTTTAGGAATGATTTCGTCCAGCAGAAGATTCAAAAAGCCGCAGCCGATCGCGAAGAGGTATAGCCACCATGGCAGAGGCGCCGTGCTGAAAACTGCGGTTATCCCAGGAACAATCGTCAGCAACGAGGTGAGAGAAGCCGACATAGAGCAAGCCAAATGCATCCACGGATTTCTATTGAATACCGTGAAAAACCACTCCCACGTGCGCACCTACAAACGCACGAAAAAATGAAAAAAAAATTCACGCCCCAAGTCGTTCCATACAGATCGCTATACATACATACATCTATATATATATATATTTGCATATATATATGTATATGTATATGTATGTATTACACCCATGCATGGAGCTAGACACTAACATGACCCGCATTGCTACATAGTTCTGTTTTGAGTCTCAACGTGTCACTCTGTTTCTCTTTCTTTCTCTTTTTATCTTTCTCTCTCTTTCTCAATTTCTACCTCTCTCATTTTCTCGCTCTTTCTTTTCTTAGCCTCTCTTCCACTCCCCAGCCCCCCCTCCCTCCCACTATCCCTAGAGAGGACGGCGTCTCTGCCTTCAACTCCTCGCAAATCCCTCCTACGGCGAAGAATCCAAAGCCCCCCCTTTTAACCCTCCTCCCTATCACTTTTTCTGGTGCTTGCGCGTGAAAAAAAACAAACGCACCGTGTAGGCGCGAAGCATCTCGCACCAGACGGCGGAAATGAAAGAGCAAGTCCTTCCCATGCGTGCTCCCCTTGAACCAACATCGTAATAATTATGTCCAATAAGGCCAAGGGGGACTGCATCATTGTTTCCGTTCCACAGCGTCCTATCGGGAGGTCTGCACCAGCCTCGTTGATCACGAATCAAATTGTCAGGACAGCCGTTTTTCATCGCAAGTTGTATCCAGTCCAATAGCTCCGGTGAACTGGCACGGATATCTACCACCTTCCCCTTTGCGGCCCCTAGCACCTGCATCGTCTTCTTTCCTGCAAATGATTACGCCCGCATGCACAAACAAACACAAAAGCAAGCACACACAAAAACACACACATCCAGAGCCATCTATACAGATATATATACACATGTACAGAGACATATACGCAGACAGCGCCATTTACATAGACATATGTAGGTGGAGAGGTATATACATACAGACGCATATATACATATACATCGACGTATATGCATATACATCTACGTATATACATATACATGTACATATACATCTACACATGCACATACACACATGCATATCGAGACATACACCTATTCACACACACAAAGAGACAACAAAAAACATACAAACAGTCGAGCGTATGCTATGCCGTGCAGCAAGGACTTCTCAAGACGCCAGTAAGTGCATGAGACTCGAGAGGCAGTCCAAGTTGCTGACAGCTGCAGGAAGGCATGTGTTAACAAAGTGCTGCCACACGTCTCGGTGTGCATCCACAGGCCTTCCACGGCACAAAGGTTTGAAGAGAAGCGGGAGGCGGTATGTAGGACTTATCCGCCTAAGCCAAGCACGCACCTATCGGATCAAAGAAATCAATATTTGTTACCCAGCCGGTATAGTCTCGTGTGACGCGATACTCATGGGCCGCACAGAAGTATCGCAATGTGCTCTCTGCCTGATGCGCAACTCGCACGCACATGCATCTTTCAGAAGGCTGTGGATGGATGCGGGCAGCAATAATGCACTAGAATCAGCCCCCAAAACCTTGTCTTGCTTTCTCTTTCCTTTATTCCCTTCCTCCCCCAGCTGTCGCTCTGTCGAAAGACCCCTAGAAGCTCTCGATACACCGCACCCCCACATCCACAAAAGAACATGGAAAGAGAGAGACGCTGATACAAAATCTAGACGGATACATATATATACATACATATATATATAAATTCCAGAGAGGAGGAATGAGGTGAAACACACAAAAAAGACACCCAGGCGGGGGGGCGCTGGGAAGAGGCACTGAAAAACGGAAACACGGAGCTCTTTGCACGCAGAGCTTCTATGAGAGTAAAACATGACCGTATGAGAAGAAGAAAGACAGAGAGACAAAGAGGGAAAAGACAGTAACCCATACAAAAGCTGTGCTCGACTCTCATTCCCCATAAGGCGAAGCTGGTGCGCTTATCTTTGATACAGCTAGTTTGCACCGAAAGGTGTTGTGTATTTGTACTTGTATGTGCATGCAAGTGTATATGTATTTGGGTGTCTATGTATATGTATGTTTATACATACATATATACATATATAGATTAAACCAATACACCAAGGCCCCCCTAAAAGGAGGAGCAACAACAGGACAGATCTGGGAACGCACAAAAATGGAGAGCTGTGCCGTATACATATATATACATATATATATACATATATATATATATACATATATATATATGTACACATACATATACATATATATATATATACACATACATATACACACATATATATACACATACATATGTACATGCGTGAAAAGGCCACGCAGCAAAACTGCGCAGCGTGAATGTGGCTTTCTACGTTTCTGCTTGCGAGGCAGTAGGCGTGCTGTACGCGTACTCCATTGCTGTCAATGACTGTTACACGTTCGCACTGATTGGTGAGATCCTTGAGGAGCACACTGCCCGTGCAGAGATACAGTCCCATGGCGAGGGAGAAGAGGACGCAAGCGGCTTCGAAGATGGTGTGGGGAACATTGCCAAATAGCCACCAATCTCGAGTCATGATGGGTTGTTTTCTGTTGCGGGGAGGAACCTGTTGGAAAAGCAGCGCGGAAGAACGCATGCAGCGATGTGCCGTGCAAGCTTGTGCTTCTCCCGACGAGGCCACTTTTTTGCTGCGTTCCCTCCTTCTCAGCAGCGGCGGGAGGACAGAACGTCGGCTCCTTAGAAGCCGAAAGCTATTAGATGGGTGTTGTACACCCTGTGTGTCTTTTAAAACGATCTAGCGTTCATGCTACACGCCTCTCTTGAAAGCAGCCCTTACACTCATGTTGTTGCCATCCGGTGGCTCCTTAGCAAGCGCTACAGCTGGGCAGCCGTCGCTCATCAGATTGAGAAACAGAACCTGAGGACAAAGAAGCAAGCCCCAGGCAGGGAAGAGAGGCGAGGAGAGAAGTTTGTGCAGAGCAGAAGCTCAAGAAAGCACGACAACAAACTGCTCCCCTCGAAAGGTGCTCCGCAATTCTCGTTCCCCAGCATGAGCTGGCTTTTCAGAAACCCTTTCCCTTATCGCTTTTATTTCTTTCTTCTTTCCCCTCTGCTTATTGCTTTATTTCTTTCTTCTTTCCCCTCTGCTTATTGCTTTATTTCTTTCTTCTTTCCCCTCTGCTTATTGCTTTATTTCTTTCTTCTTTCCCCTCTGCTTATCGCTTTATTTCTTTCTTTTTTCCCCTCTGCTTATCGCTTTTATTCCCTGTTCCAGGGTCGGTGGTGGGGGTGAAGGGTGGTTAAGAGCCGTCGGGGGGGAGGGGAGAAGAAATGCGGGGAATATGACCCTCTGTGTCGTACGAGCAGCAACTAAAGGGGGAAGAGAGAGGGGGAGCAGCGGAAAAATTACCTGAAGGGCCTCAAGAGGCAGCGGCATGGAAGCCGCAATGGCAATAGTCAGGTAGATGATTTCGCCGATGTTTGTGCCGAGGAGGAAGCAAACAAACTTTTGGATGTTGCCATAAATCTTGCGGCCCTCCTCAACAGCTGCAACGCACAAGGATAAGACGGACGGTGCATGCATGCATGCATGCATGGCTAACTAGCAGTGGCACTGTGCACGCCTCTCTTCCTTCTTCCCTCCAGTCCCACCTATTCCCCTGTTTTGCAAGAAGCAACGGACACAGCGGTGTCATCCGGCAGTGTCGAATTGCGTACCGTACATCAATACACATATAGAAATATACATATATATGTATATATATAGGCATATGTATATGTATATGTGTAGGTATAGATATATATATATATATATCTACACATATGCACATATGTATATCTCTCTTCACGTGTGTGTAGATAGATGTCCATATATCAATGCAGACACGCTTAGAAGGTGTTGACGGGTAGGCACGCACTTCTACACACACAGAGAGAGAGAGAGACAGCTCCAAAGACAGCTACACATACAGCAGAATGCCGCGCCACTCCGCTACACATGGCTTCAATAAAGACTTTAACACCACGACAAAAAGACACACACACAAACACAGACACAAACACGCACAAGCAAACAAACACCCCGCTACCCCACCCTATACGCAGATCGGTCCTCTTTTCTTTTTTTGAGAAAAACAAAAGTGCTCTTTTTCTAACCCTGAAAAGCCCTTGAACACCCAATCAAAGGCTTCTATATCTGCAGACCGCCAGAAAAAAAATCCATTTGACAGCTACGACCAGAACACCACCCCCCTTTCCGCTATTCTTCCCCAGAGTAATGCGAACCTGCAACAATGGTGCAGAAGTTGTCATCGAGCAGAATCATTTCTGCTGCCCCCTTGGCCACGTCTGTTCCCGCAATCCCCATAGCTACGCCAATGTCTGCTGCTTTCAGTGCAGGAGCATCGTTCACGCCATCTCCCGTCATAGCCACAGTATGACCAAGGCGCTGAAGAGAAGATACCAACCAGAACTTGTCTTCCGGCTGAGCACGCGCAAACACGCGGACCCTGAGGAGCACACAGGCGCAGCAAGAATGACGTCATACAATCTGATTGAGAGAAAAAGAGATAAGGCGCGGGTAGAGTTGAAGAGAGAGGGATAGAGACAGAGATAGAGATGGACGTGGGTAGAGGTGGAGAGAGAGAGGGATAAATATATAGATATATAAAGAGATATATATGATTTATACATATTTATAAAGAGAGACGCAATTTGTGTTTGTATGTGTGTGTGTGTGTGTGTGTGTGTGTGCATTGGGGAAGAAGAACCAGAGGCGCAAGAGGCCGATAAGAGAGCAAAAAAAATGCACATAGAACACATACTAACGGAGCGGCAGCACGGGCTAGCCAAAGCGAAAGCTGGAACAGAAAAATGCATTTGCAGATTATTTGTGTGGAAGGGGGCATTCTATATGTACAGAAATATACCCGTCAACTAGAGGATCGAGCACTTCGATGGGTTTGTAAGGGAGCGTGGGGTCGTCATTCTCATGCAGCACCGCGCACATGACGCTGCGCTGGGCAACATCATCTTTGTCGCTCAAGATGCCTATTTCGCGTGCAATAGCGCAAGCAGTAGGCAGCTGATCACCGGTAATCATCACAACACGTACGCCAGCCTCGTGGCATTCGGCAACAGCATCGCGTACTCCTGCGCGCGGGGGATCTAAGGAGCCTATCAAACCTAAAACTGACAGGCTCTGCAAATACGACACCAGAGACACATGATCGCATGCATGCAATCGGTGTATATGGACGTATGTATGTATACATGCATACATATATATATATGTATGTGTGTATATATGTACATGTATATGTACGTATTTGTACAGGTGTGTATATATACGTATACATATGCAAATGTGTATATGGATCTATACAAATACGTGTATATAGATGTGTATATAAATAGACGTGTATTTAAATGTATGTATAGATGTATATATACATATATATTTCTACATGTGTCTTATGTGCGGACAACACGTGTGTGTAGGTACACCCGAGGAAGGTACGATACCTTTGAGGAGGTAGGGGGAAGCGCGCGAAAGAAAAAACACAAAACAATATGCACAGTCACATGGTTGCCAGCATTCTTGCATTCATTCATGAAACGCACGAAGATGCGGGCTATAATCAGAGACAGAAGCTCTGAGGAATAGCAGCGAGAGAACAGCCTCCCTCTAGATGTCGAGAAAAAAGCGAACGCTATCCTCCGGTGTGGACGCTGCCGAACCCCACACGTTAAGGCCCTTCCCAACGCTACAATATATACATACATATATGTCTCTATAGGTCTATAAATATATATAAGTCTATAAATATATATGGGTATGTAGATATACATAAATCTAGAAATATAAACATGTGTATATGTAGTTCTATCTAAACACATATACACATACATACATATATGTAACTGCCAGAGACGCTACCTTGGCTGGCTCCTCGACAACAGTCTTGAGACGTTCGTCAGCACCTGCACAGGCCCTCAGCTTCTCAATCATCTCGGCAGTAAGTGGGCGGAATGCAACGGTGAGAACGCGCAATGCTGCGGAGGAGAGGGCTGCATTGGCAGCTCCAATCTCTTCCAACTCAGCTGCAGAGAGGGGACTGTCAGCGGCCAAGCCGCAGCGTCCCCCCGACTCCACCAAGCTGACTCCCAAGTGTGGGGCTAACTGACAGCAGCAAAAAGCAACACATCCATACATTCGCGGCGATGAACACACACACACACACACACACACACACACACACACACACACACACACGCACATGCGCAGTGAGAGAAAGAAAAACACAGACACACAGGCAGAATGACAGACAGAATGGCAGGCAGAATGAGAGACAGACAGAATGACAGGCAGACAGAATGACAGGCAGAATGACAGACAGAATGACAGGCAGGCAGAATGACAGGCAGAACGACAGGCAGAATGACAGACAGACAGAATGACAGACAGAATGGCAGACAGAATGACGGACAGACAGAATGGCAGACAGAATGACAGAATGACAGACAGCTAGGCATTAGACACCCAAGGAAAAGCGGCGCTAGAGCGCGCGAAGAGGAAGCCTGTTCAGCGACATCTCTGGACTCGAGAAAAAGTTTTTTCTGTACTCGATACACGCAAAAAAAACTCAACGCATATAGGCATGTCTAGGCAGAAAAGGCCGCAACATGCCCTAACCCTTTCTCTTGCTCAACCCCCCTCCTCCACATACTCTGTCAGGTGCTCCCTTGACTATGGCGACGTGGGTATACTCCACCCCGCGACTATGAAGATCGATGCCTGCAAAGCAATCTTTTATTGGTAATGCGTGCACAGACATCGCCATCTTTCGTCCCGAGTTGAAGGGCACTTCCAAAGAAGCCTCTCGAGCATGTGTAGCGTGACAGTCCGCGTTTATCCCCGCCTTTGCTGCCAGCACGACCAAAGCACCTGAAGAAAATAAAGATGAAGACAGGAGATGCGCGCAAAAAATGACTGCTTGATGTGCAGGCAGGCAGAAGCGGCAAGGCGCATATTTGCATATGCAAGCTATACATGGATGTAAATCGGTGGGTGGGAGTGTGTATGTGTATGTGGAGATGATGTACATATAGGGGTGTCTGTAAAATTATACGCATATAGAGGTGTGTACGTCTTAAGACATATGCCTACATATAAATACAGGTGTTGTGTGTGTGGTTGTGTATGTGTGTGTATGTGTATGTCTATGTGTATGTATCTGTGTGTATGTGTATGTGTGTGTATGTGTGGAAGTGTGTATGTGTGTGTAAGTGTGTATGTATGTGTAAGTAAGTGTGTATGTGTATGTATGTGTAAGTAAGTGTGTATGTGTATGTATGTGTAAGTAAGTGTGTATGTGTATGTATGTGTAAGTAAGTGTGTATGCGTGTGTATATGTGTATGTGTATGTCTACATGTACATATATATGCATGTATATATATGCACATATATACACATGAATATTGGTGTGAAAGCAAAATTTGGGGGGCATCAGTGCCTATTTAAAGGCTTTCATTCCTGTCCAGCTCTGCAGCAAAGCTTCTAAATTTCGCTCCACGGGTGCGCCTGCGTAGTGCCCCCTTGCACATGGTCGCCGCTGAAGAGGCTCTCTCGATTTGTTTCAGTATGCCTCTAAATGTATGAACCAATGTATTTTAACATCTATATCTCTGAAATTCTCTCTCAAGGCAGCCCCCTCGCGTTAGCGTGCCGCAACATTGGCGTGCGATCTTTTGGCTGCAACTGCAGCATCGTTTCTGTTCGTGCGTAGAAAAACAAACACACTGTTAAAGCCCCTCTCTCTGACATCCTACCTTCGCTCATGTTTCCGCTTGTAGTCCATTGCTTGGATTTCACATCCTGCTCGAGCTTCGTGCAGTGCGAGTTGAGGAAGGCCGCTAATAAGAGAGCCCTCGCCCGCACGGCTGCTGCTGCCTCTGCCGTTGGTGCACCTAGCGAGGAAGTTTCTGCAGCCGTTGCTGCTGAAGCGTAGTTTGTCAGAACCTTTCCGAAGGATTCGAAGGCTCCCTGCCCGTGCAACGCCGTCAAGGTATTCTGCGCAGGCAAGAACGACAAGCGCACTGCAAGAAAACGTCTCAAGAGAGAGATACACATGTTGCACATGTTGCACAGATACACACAGACGCACGACGTGGGGGAGTCGCCCGAGTCGTGCTGTCCATGCATGCAAACCTCTACTACGGTCCTTTAAGAGAAAGTTTTGCTCGGCATGTAGTGGTTTTTGATGTTCAGAGGGCCTGGTGCAGAAGGGGGTTGGTTGCTTTGCAAACAGAGCAAGCGCGGGAAAAGCGACTGCGCTCGCTCGCTCGCTCGCTCAGCGCTCGGAGAAGAAAAGCGGCAGGGAGGGAGGGAGCGAAAAGCTGTGTACTTTTCAAATAGGAAGAAATGCGAGAGGACAAAGCCAGGACAGAACCCCAACAAAGAGGCATACATGGAAGCGCTGATGCCACGCAAAAAGAAAAGCTTTCTGACCTTCTTTTCTTGCGTCAGAAGTGCCTCATCGAAGATGCCTCCATGGGGATCATAACCTTTGGTGGGGTAAACTGCGAGCGTCTTAGCCGTCCGCTTATCTGCGTCTGTCAAAATGCTACCGCGGCAGAAAGTCACAACATGCGTGGCCGTCATCTTTCCCTCCGTCAGAGTGCCTGGAAAGAGGAGACGTAAAGCGAAAAAATGATGCGCACAAAGATGCAGACATAACGATGGAGCTCATCGTGAGGAGAAATACGGAGCGGCAGAGGGAGACATAAGAAAAGAGAAGAGAGACATTTTTTCTCGCGCGCTTGGAGGAATAAGGTTCGGAGCACAAGTCGGCGAGGCGTTATGAGCGGCTTGGGAAGGTAGCTAAGCAGCAGCAAGGCGAGAAAACGCATGGAGATGCGTTTGTGAGAGAGGAGAGCAGGTTGTTAAGAACATTCAGGGAAGGCAGGTGGGCTGCAGGGGGGAGGGCAAAGATTGCAATCACGCGCAGGAAAAAAGAAACGACGAAAGGCGCTGGAGGAGGGCACTTGCAGCAGAGTGTACAAGTTGAAGCTGTGTGGTGTATATATTTCCACACATCAATACACATTAAACAGTTAAGAGAGAGAGAGAGAAGCATCAGCCTACGCACCTGTCTTGTCCGAACAAATCACAGAGCAGCATCCCAGTGTCTCGACAGCTGGCAGCTTCCGAACATTTGCTTTGCGCTTGACCTGAAAAAAAGCACAGCGACATCCAAGGCGCAACAGCAATCGCTAGGAAAAAAGAGAGAGGTGCACGTACATCTTCACACTCACGTCCATGCACACACATGCACACATGCCAGCGCACGAAAAAACCCTTTCTCGCTCAACTACTGCTGCCTCTCGCCATGTACAACATGCCCACACACAACTGCATCCATCTCGCTTAGCAAGACTCGCATGCATGAACAGCATATCCGCACGTTGTGTATCGACCTGTATCTGCAGACAGTGGAAAGACGGTGTCTTGACAAGCGGCCCATGCCTAGAAAGTCGCTTCCTCTTTTCCCCTCCCCGTTCTCTCTGCCGTCGCTTCGGCCGTGAATATGTGTACACGCAAATGTGAATACAGGTGTAAGTACATATAGGCGTAGCTGTGTTGTCACTAACCATATCGCGAGCACCTAGCGAAAGGCAGATAGTGACAACCATCGGCAATCCTTCGGGGATCGAGGAAACCGCAAAGCCCACAGCAACGAGAACAATCTGCGCAAAAACAAGGCCAGGCGTTCCCGCTATTTTTTTGCAAAGAAAACATCTTCCAATCTTGGACTAACAAAATACCCGCTAGCTTAAACGCTCGTATGCTGCTGCTATTACTCTTGCCATTGCTCTTGCAATTACTCTTGCTACTACTCTTGCGATTACTCTAGCTACTACTCTAGCTACTACTCTTGCTATTACTCCTGCTACTACTCTAGCTACTACTCTTGCTATTACTCTTGCTACTACTCTTGCTACTACTCTTGCCATTACTCTTGCCATTGCTCTTGCAATTACTCTTGCTACTACTCTTGCTACTACTCTTGCTACTACTCTTGCGATTACTCTAGCTACTACTCTAGCTACTACTCTTGCTACTACTCTTGCTACTACTCTTGCGATTACTCTTGCCATTACTCTTGCCATTACTCTTGCCATTACTCTTGCTACTACTCTTGCTATTACTCCTTCTACTCTTCCTGCTGCTCTTGCTATTACTCTAGCTACTACTCTAGCTACTACTCTTGCTACTACTCTTGCTGCTGCCACACCCGCATGACGGTTTTAAAAGGCGCTTCCTTACCGTGAAGATAGGATCTGAGTCTGGGTGTGCAGGGTCACGATACCCCGTAAGCACAGCCACCACCACAATAACGACGAGCACACAAATCGCAATTATGCCGATCAGTCCGCCGAGACGGTTCAAGCCCCTCTGCAGAGGTGTGAGGCGCGAAGCGGCTCCTGCCTTCTTCAGTTGAGTTGCAATACGACCAACCTGAGGCGGAAAGCAGCAGCACACCAGCGACAGCTGACACACCCACCAAGACAAACATACAGACACACGTCCTTCCTCCCCCCATGCATACAAAAAAATCCGCGAAACAAATCAACAGCCCTCGGGCACCAGGACACCAGCAACCCCACCACCCCGTTGCAACACACAGAAGGAGGAATGCACTCGCGCACCCGATATGAGCGCAAGACAGGCAAAACGCCCCCATCGAGCACGCAATGGGGACAGAAATCCACGGACAGAGATACTTATTTTGACGGAAGACAGACAGAGGCATATCGTGCAACAGGCTGCCTTCTATCCGGCGAACCCGACAGCGCACATGGGCACGAAGCTCGAGGGATAGAGAAAATGCGCGAAAGCACCAGCAAACGCGCGAAAAGGAAGGCATGACAACAAAGTGTTAGAAGTGCGTGGCCATGACGCCACGTGTAAACAGAGGCCAGCAGAGAGCGAGGTGCTTCGTTTTTACATCGGCACCGAAGAGGTCATGAAAAGAACCGTTTAGCCCAGAGCATGCAGCATTCGAAGAGCACCAGAGGGCCCCTAAGGCGGCATGCATGCATGCCGCCTTCATCATGCGCCGATTTACATGGCAAAGCAGGACTAACAGACCTGTGTTTCCATCCCTGTCGCAAATACGAGGCACCTGCCGCTGCCGTTGGTAACGATAGTACTCGCAAAACATAAGTTTGTCGCAAAGGGGGCATCGCCATCCGCCGCAGCCACTGTCTTCGTGACGTCCTCAGACTCGCCTGAGAACCCAGAAAGGCAGAGAGCGCAAGAAAGAGAAAAAAGTCAAGACATCGAACGCAGACACCAAGATCTTTCAGGTTGCCATGCGAAAACAGAGGCAAGAGCACGTCACTCCTTCCTTCTCGCCCTCCCTCCTTCCTTCTCTCTGAGGCGCGCATGTTTTGAAAAAAAGGCATTCACGCCAGAAACAAGACAGTACACTCGAGAGGCCCTAAGATGGATGGGCCCTGGTAAGTGCCGATTCAAATGGAATATCGGTATATTCTACATGCGCCTCTTGAGGGTGTGCGCATATATATAGACATTAATATATACATATATATATATATTATTTCATACATAGATATCTATACATAGGATATATATATATATATATATTATTTCATATATAGATATCTATATATAGGATATATATGTATATGTACATATATCTATATACATATTTACCACCTTCCCTAGGGAGGTCCAGAATCACGCACAGAGAGCTATGCAGAGTACAATACCGTGTTATGGGACAAACGCAGAGACAGACGGAATGCATGCATGCATGCATGCATGCATATATAGATCCGCATACATACACAGATACCAGGTGCACAGTTGGCCATGTACAGCAGACAGATCGACAGCTGCGCGAGGTGCAGTGCACGCCTGCCTGTTAGGAGAGCTTCATTTGTCTTGAGCTCAGTGACTTCAATACACCGCATATCTGCCGCTACATTGTTGCCGGTCCGGAGGAGCACTACATCTCCTGGAACTACTTCCTCGGCTGGCAGCTGCTTCTCTTCGCCATCTCTCAAAACGCAACATAACGGCGCTGCCATACTCGCCAGCTTTGCCAAGGCGGTGCTCGCTACAAGAACAGCCATCCACACCACAAAAAGCAGGAAAAAACTTTCTCCAAAGGCAGCCTCGAGGCACGACTGGCATGTCTCCACAAGGCATGCAGACCCCCACCACTCCGTTAATCGCAAAAATGCATCAACAACACACGGTGTACAGACACACAGCCCCCAGTACTCTCTCTCCCTCCCTGTGCGAGTGATGACCCTCTACCAAAAGACATGTCTTCTTCATCACACGGACGCTCTCTATGTATACACATACATATATATACATATATATTGAGAGATTTATAGAGCATATCATGCATGCATGCGTCGCACTAGGTACATACCAAAGTACTGCTTGCGAGTGCACGGTGCATATATGAATATATACAGAGAGACTGTAAATCCCCCCCTTTCGCCGTTGGCTGCCTGGCTGGCTGCCTGCCTGCCGCCTTCCCTCTCCCTGTACTTTACGGTGTCTCTTGCCGCTCACGAGCGTTTGCCTTCCTGACTGTACCCCCTGTTTGCCCCCTCCCCCTTCCAGGTGCCCCCCTATGCGGCCCCCCAGCCTTTTCTCTGCTTCACCAGAGTCTGCCTCCGCCTTTTTTCTCGACGAAAACATACCGCTGTTTTCCATGTACGTCGCGAGGCAGGCATTGAGCGTGACGATGATCAGGATAGCAGCCCCCTCTACCCACTCCTGCATCACGAGGGAGGCTACAGCCGCAATCAAGAGAAGCGACACTACAGGACTGCGAAACTGAGAAATAAATATCTTCCATATCGGATCGCGACCGCCTTTGTCCAACATGTTGGAACCGAACTTCTCCCTGTTTTCCAAAACTTGCGCGGCAGTCAAGCCCCTGCTCAAATCAGTGCACCCTAGCTCCTCAGCCAACGCCTATACATACACACACATACACACATAGATGTATGAGCATACAAATATACATACATACATGTATACATGCACATACACCTCACACACCTGCCCATGCACATGCGCGTCCAAGCGTACAGCCGCAAATTCACGCATGCTTCAGATTTTCATGCACTTATTCCATCTTCCTCAGCGTGCTGCTCCATGCAGGATCAAGCAACAGCACCTGTATATCTGTAGACGCAAATCGGTTTTTTCCAGAAGTGGGATATTCCTTCTCCGTCGCAGTCACCATTTTCTGAAAGGCCTCGGGATCTGCCTTTCTAGCTGACTCAACTAGTTCCTTCATGCTCACCTAAATTGCAACGGCATACACACACATCTATCCAAACAGTCAACGTGCAGCCAATACACTCAGATCCGGCAGAGCTCCCTCCGACTTAAAAGGCTTCCTTCCTCCGTCCTCCCCATAAATTCGACGATCAGAGCATTGCGAAAAAAGATTTCGCACTTGTTTTAGCGAGCTTGTCGCGGCTAGCTAGCAGGTTGAAGGTTCACTACATACATATACGTGTAGATGTATATCTAGATACACATACATGTATACATACATACATGAACACATATGTATGTATACATGCAGACATATATATATATATAGGAAAGCAGGGGATTCTCGCAGAGCCTAGCGCTTCTCTGAGATGCAAAAACCTTTGCTTCCTTTCCTTCCCAGTTCCTCCCTCTATCTCCTCTCCCTCTATCTCCTCCCTCTATCTCCTCTCCCTCTATCTCCTCTCCCTCTATCTCCTCTCTCTATCTCCTCTCTCTCTCCTCTCCCTTTCTCTTTCTCTCTTCTCCCTTTCTCCCTCCCTCTCCCTTTCTCTCTCCCCCTCCCTCTCTCTCCCTGTCGCTATTTTCTCTCTTTTTCTCACACGTACCTGACTCTTGCTGAGTCTCTCAACGACTTCCATCTCGACATTGTCTGCAAATGCGGATGGGTCTAGCGCCTGTGGCATGATTCTTGCATTGTCTGCGTGCAGAAAAGGCTCTCGCGTTTCCTCCACTCCCGAGGGGGACCTGTGGACGGCCTCGGCATCTACATTTGGAGTTGAGGGGTGGTGAGATCGCTGCGATTCACCACTCCTAGCCGCGCTAGCTGCTACGGCAGTGCTCTCTCCCGTTGCTGGAGAAGGCGGCTGCTGCGCCCCCTTCGGCGAGGGGGGAGCCTCGTTCTGAGGGGGCATAGTCAAGCGGCTTGATCAGATACAGCGCGTCGGCAGCAGCACACACTATGCGTGAACTCTCGCCGCTGCTGGACTTCCTCCAAGATGCCGCGGAGGCACTCGAGCGAGACACTGAGCGGCGGAACGGAGGCTTCTGCGGCGCATACGAAAAAGGAACGGTGCTGCCTGCGCGTGCGAAGGAGCTGCGATCGAAGGCGTTGAAGCGTGGTCGGCAGCCTTATAGAAATGCCCTAGGCCCTGCCGAAGCGCAGTTGTGAGTACGGCGCTTCACTGCACGTACCCCGGACAGGGAAGAAAGTCGCTAGAAAGCGGGAACGGAGAGCAATCGGATGCCCTCTATGCGGAATAAAACGCATAAATTCCAATTACAAATGGCATTTAGATTTCAGAGGACAAAGGCGAACACAGCGTGCAAAACGGTGGGTTCCTTCCTCACTACTGTGCCAGGTATATGTATATATACGTGTATATGCATATATAACGCGTCTGCGCAGCGCCAGACTGCAGCTGTATCTGCAGCTCCCCGTCCGCGCAAGGCCAGAAACTCGCGCTTAAATAGCCTAAAGGAGGGCTAAATGCACATTTACGAGTCTAAGAGAGCGCACAAGAGAGAGCGCAGGTCGGCAGCAGCAGCCTCTCGGAGGCTGCTGCCCTCCACCTCTGCTGCTCTCATTGTGGATGCTCTCTCGCTCTCACCGCACCGTGGTGGCCAGCATGGCCTACGCGAATGCCACTCCTCATTAGGCATAGAAATTGATGCGCTTCTAGCCCCCATTACCGTTACTCTGCGCGTTAAAGTGCACAATTCACTGAAATAGCCGTGAGAAGCATATTACCCAAGTCTTGTTGTGAACTCCTTGCCCCTGCGGGCTGCTGCAGCATGTGCTCCGTCTGCAGCGCTGCACCAGACTTCGAAAAATAGATAAAATAGAAGGCCGTTTTAGGTCTCGTGGGCAAGTCAATAAAGTCTGCTGCGCTTGGCAGCCTTTAATAGGGACACCCCGTAGGCGACTCTGGCCGCAACACACACGAGCAACACAACAGCCACAACAGACCTGCGAGAACAGACACTTCTCCACAGGTTCTTTTCGAAGGATACACCGAAATCGGCGGAAAGCTGGGACGCGAAAGCTCTCTCTAACAGTCTCGATTCTCTGTGCAGACTCGTGTTTGCCTATCGTTCGGCAACCCACTGCCTTAGATGCCGCTTAATAACAGTGTGGGTGCTACCTAGTAGGCCCATCCAACGCAGCCCCCTCCACGCGTCCTCAGCTTTCAGTTCAAACTCGGCTTTCAGTAAATATCCCTGCAAGCTCCAGAAGCGGCTGCCTCTGCTTCCTAGAGGGTGAATGCGCGTCCGCTCATGGTATGTACGAAGAGAGGCCACCAACGTCAGCTGTAGCGGGGTGTCCGCCTTCATTCAGGCAGTTTATCTCTCTCCCATACGCTGGATTCAAGTCAGAATGCACAAAGACCCAGCTGGCATTTGGTCTGGCTCACTGTATTACAGCCTATGCCTGCAAAGCACAACTAATTCGCTTCCTGCTGTACGAATCCACGGTGTGTGCTACCGGCAACGCTCCCTCTAAGGTTTGCGCGGCAAACACTTCTCTCGTATCGTATTACAAACTTTAAGCGAGTTTTCGAGCTCCTCCTAAGAGCATTCCCTATTTTCCTATTCCCCCCTCCATCCGTATGCCCTACATGAGGGGAGAGGAGGAGCTAAGGTGCGGCGCAGCTGCACCCTCTACGCATTAGAGACAGTCGCAGCGAGTTGCACATGGCACCTCGCGTGCACAACACTGCATCCTGTTGTATCGAGCTACCGATCCCCTGAAGAAAACGTACGAAACGACAAAACACACAGTTGGTGGACTAGTAATCATACTAAACTATGTGTAGTTTGGCAGAAACTGACTATGCGCAGCCTTTAACCCCTGCACAGCCTTTGGAGCACAGAGAGCCGTGCTGCCGTGCAAAGACATCCTAAGCCAGGCAAAAGCATCCGTAGAAACAGTGCATCGACAGCTTAATTGAATGAACGCATCGCTGTATTCAAGCACAGAATATTTTATTGGAAGCCTCTAGAAAGGTAAATGCACGATGGACAAATGCCCGGTAGACAGCAGAGAAGGATGAAACGAGAACGAGGCTTTGGCATAATCTCGAGGTCCACAGAAAGCCAGGCTTCCAGGGACTCTCCTATGTAAATACCGTTCTAGTCCTATCTGTGTCGATTCCATGCAGGTCTACCTGAGACTTGCAGAATCCTCATTTCGGGAGATCTGCAACTCATTACATTTTGCCAGTCGCCCTACGAACCTACGATGCATGTGCAGCTTTTTAGCAGAAAGTGTGGAACTATTTAGGGTGGGTCGCAATCTCATACCGTATGCTGTAAAATCTGAGCACTACAGCAGCACTGATGGGATTCAAGCGCCTTCATGGCTCACAGGTGCTAGTAGCTATGCCAGTGGTGCAACGACTTTCTCAGGAATCTCTGCTATTCAGATATCTTTTGAACTGACACAAAGGATATTTTACACACCAAGTTGCGCCCCCATAAAGTCTTCTTGATGTTGGATTCCGTGTATGCCCTCCTTTGCGAAGAGACGCGTCACAAGCGCGTAGTTGCTTGAGCGTTCTTGGAGTGACACAGCAGACACACTGCACCTCCACGAGCTATGCGTGAAAACTAACTCTCAGGGCTCTTAGCCTACCCCAGAAAGATGCACGAATGCCGCACATCTTTAAAGGGTTCCCATGGGTGCTTTTGTATGCATCTGCTTCTGCGCCCCTAAGTTTTGAGAACTACAACCACAACGCTCATGCGAGCGGCGTTACCTGAGTCGCATCTGCAGCTTTTTAGGTGAGAGGGCGTCGATGCCCCGCCTCCTGAGAACCCCAAATAAATCAAAGCTACTCAGTTCTCAGAGAAGCGTAGAAGAAGGATCGCACTTGGCTTCGTGCCCTCAGCTGACCCTTCTCCGTTGTCAGTTGGCAAACTCTTCTCATCTTCAGCTCGAGAATTCGCTGCACCTCCATTTGTCGCAAAAGCAGGCCTTTTCTGAGGGTAGACTGCACCTGTGACGGATTGTGGGCAAGGTGCAGTTTTGCAGTGTCAAGTGGAAAGTCAACATGCACGCCACTAGGCGGATGCAAGAGAGGAAACGAAAAGTGTGCGCAGAAACAGACAAGGCCGCTTGCCTCTTTTGTGTTGTCGCTCTGTATTTGCAGCATTAGCTGTTCGCACTCATTCGTAAGCTGTGACCTGGGGAGCGACCTCTGCTGCAGGCTACAAAATTATTCTGTGCATGCATTGTGTGCACACCTACGCTCAAGCGCCGATGCTCTTATAGACTCGAGAGCGCGTTTCTTAGCGCACAGCTCTTCCTTCAGAACCTGAACTCCAGCCTGGAGCGCCCTTTGTTCTGTTCCTTGGGTGCTGTTTGCATGCGCTGTGCAAATGGCGACGGCGGTAACTGCCTGACTGGCCGCTTGTACGGTGCTTATTTCCCTAATTATGGACCGATGTGAAATTTCTAAACGCTCAGCCTCCTTTCTCGTTGCCTCTAGCTCCTCCAGTTTTGAGTCGGTCGTGCTTCTCAGGATTTCAAGGTGAACTAAGGCCGGCAAGGGAAGCTGTTTTTGTTCCATTACGCCGCCTAACCCGAGGGCAGTCTACACCAGATCCAAGGTTTCACAGCATAGCAGAGGAATGGCTCAGCGATGAATTGTGCATACTCATCCGCTTTGACGACATATGGGCATGCGACATGAACTGTGAGAACTGCAGTGGAACTGGCCATACACCCGCCGGGATCAAAAATATATTGCACAGAGAAGGGGAATGACCCATATTAGAGACAGCTCTTATTTTGTCATTTTACAAACTTATTCGTAGTGCACGCTAGGAAACTTAGTCGGAGCGCTGAAAGCAGCCCCAGTGACGGTTTTCTCTACTTTTCCCAAATTGTTGAATGTTCTTCGGGACCATATGTGTGTATCACAATGCGATGCTTGCATATAGAGAAATGTGTAGAACAAGGCGAAGGGTGTGGTTCCTGGCGCATTCAATTGGTCATGAGGTGATCAGTTTGCGGTGAGATCTGATCGGCCGCAGAACTGGCATGTGGCACGGCGTTCCACGCCATTGAACGCAGCATGATACCAATGAGAAAAAGATTCAAAGAGAACATTATATATATATAGATGCCTGAAGGAGTTGCGACAAAGCGCCGAAATATACCCGAGAGCAGATTCGCCCTTTCCGTTGTGGACTCGCAGTAGAGCAGTCTCTTGCATTGGGGTTATCAACAGGGTGCGCCGCCCGCGTAGGGCGTTCCCAGCATGAGTTCATGAGACTTGTGCTCAATGTGATCAAAATAAAGATGCCTTCTACGATTTCCCATTTGACTCTCTATGGCACTCACAAAGAGAGGAGCGAAGGCTGGACGCAACAGAGTCTCTAGACGTTCCGGTGGTCGCCTAGGCGAACACCGTACCGGCCCGGTCCTATGTCTGCAGCCTTCTCGTACATCTCGACCAGTGCCTCAAGTGGGCTTTCATGAAGCAAATTTGAGGTGTCGTTCTTCATTTAAGAGCGCTCTTTACTCCGGGGAAACGCAAGCAGTTCAGCCGGCCTAAAACGATCGCTGCAACGGGACGACGCCATCCAAAACGTTGCGATGAATGATGCCTCTTGAGAGAAAGAAAGCATTCAATCCCCACCTACGACAGCTCTTTAGCTCTGGCTTTTGAGGAATTCGACCCTGTGGACGCTCAGGTTGGCTCTGGAGTGGCATATCGAGGAACTCAGACTCAAAGAGAAAAGGTGGCGCGGCGTACGTCATGGGGTTCTCTTTGCGATGGATTCGAAACACGGCGCTTGTGGGCATAGCCATACTTAGCGGCTTCAGAGAAACACCTTGGGGGGCGGTTGGCGAGACGGTTGCTCTAGAGGATGCCTCGCTTCTGCTTGCCAATCCCACGGGTGAGGGAGCAGCGGCAGGAGGGGCGCCATCACCCACAGATAATTCTGCTGTTGCAAGCACCTCTGACGCTGTTTCTAGCGGCAGCGAATCAGAAAAAGACGCTTCATCTGTGGGAGGCCCCCCGGAAGGGGGGGGAGCCAAAGCTAAATCCAAAGGCAGTGGCCGACGGTCAGGCAAGGGCTGGCTAAAAAAGCTAAAAAGCCCATTTCCGTTCAAAAAGGGGAGAAGGGGGTCCACTAAGCAAACCTCCACAGGGGTTGAGAGCGCAGACGAGGGACATAGCTCCGAAGACGACGCCTCATCTGTGGGAGACGCCTCGGAAACGGGGGATACCGGAGCTACATCCGGAAGCAGTGGCAAACAGAAACGTAGAAGCCTCATGAAAGGGCTAAAAAGCCCGTTTCCGTGGTTTAAAAAGGGGGAAAAGGGGCCTACTAAGCAAGCCTCCATAGAGGTTGAGAGCGGTGACGAGGGAGATAGCTCCGAAGATGAAGCCAGCAGCAGTAGTGTAGGCACCGCAGCTAAAAGCGGTCCCAAGAGTAGAAGTAAAAAGATGTCGAGCTCTCGTAAAATGCGCTTTCCATTTGGCAAGAAAAAACCAAAGTCAGGCGGGGAATCCGCATCTGGGGAAGTGCCTATGTCGGAGCTTCCGTCCACAAGCGCGCCAGCCAGTGCCTCCACAGACGGAGATAGCGCAGCGGAGTCACCGTCACGCAGCAAGCCGAAAAAGCGCGGCTTCTTCGGAAGGAGAGCACCCCGCAGTCTCCAGCTCGGCCTAACGATCAGGAGAGGAGGGTCAAAACGTGCGGGCAAGCGCGACAGAACGCATGCCAGCAGCAGCGCGTCTCTTCTGCTACAACCAAAGCTATCACCCAGTGCTAGCGCAAACCCGGCAGATGGATTTCCAGTTGTTCTCCCTTTGCCCCCAAGGACGGAGATGCGCCACCCAGGATCCCCTGCTGTGGGCTGCATGCCTGTGCAACTAACTTTGGGGTATGAGGAGTTTGCCGCACAGCTTCCCTCTGCGGGGGCTGGCTGTCGTTTCCTGCATCCGCAGTAGTGCGGACAGTCAATGGCGCCAAGTGGCCCTCTGGCTGCCCAACTGTGACTGGCGTGAGAGGCTGCCTCGTTGCCTAGGCGCAGCCACGCGACGGGGCAGCTTTATCCCTCCAAGACAATGCCATGGGAAGGGGGGAGGGCGGCCGGTGGCTAGATAAAAAATATAAGGAAAATATATATATATATAAATGTGTATATATGTGTAGACGACGATGCAGATACGAAGGCTACCTATGCGCTGTGAGCAGCATGTGTATTTGAGCTCCTGCAAACCCACCCCGTTAAAACTAGCACATCGCGTCAGAGTTGGTTTTGCACCCTTGCGCAAGGCACAGAGGCGCCTCTTCTAGCCCCTAGCCCCCACACATCCCTCCCTGTAGTGGAATTCCTTGCTTCGGATCACGCATCTCACTCGGGCGAAGGAAGAAGACCCTTCCGCCACCGCATTCGACACAACCTGCAGAACCTCCACTAGGGAAGAAGACCTCCTGAGACTTAGACTGCATGAACGTAAAAAGACTGAGGGGCGCAATATGCGGCGTCTCAGGCCACCAACACGCCCCTGATTTGTCAATGCTGGGGACTTGTCCACCACGCGAACACGCACCGCGCCATCTCGCTGCATTGCTTCTCGACTCGCCTCGCCAGAAAGCCTAGAAAAAAAACCACGTGAGCACTGCTCTTCTTCCACTCCGCGCTCAGTAGAGGGTGGCGTAAAGTCCCAAATCCGTCATCCAAGCGCCGCTACGCTCCAGTGTTGCTTCGGATTCCATCATTGTCGGGCGCTCTGTCCGCGTGCCTGAGGAAGCGAGAAGGATTGCGCACAATGGCATAGGTCAAACCACGCGCTCTGCTAGCAAACGGACAAAGCTGCCTACTTCCCGCCGCCGCTATGTCTTGCACCCGTTCTTTCACGGCTGCACCCACATAAAACCCCTCCTGCGATCTTGGCGGCTCGCGTGCTTACCCAAGACATCCGTCTCCGCGGCGGTCACCACCGTTGAGGGAAGCGCAGTCGGTAGAACCTTGACAATCATGGCGCTGATGTTATCCCAACTCCCCATGAGATACGCGGTAGTCACTAGGCGCGTTGCTGTCTCTTCTAGGTCGCCCCCAGTTGCCTGCGGCCACAAAAAAACATCCCTAGCATGGAAATGGAAGCGCCAGTATATATATATATATGATGAGAGAGAAAAAAACGCGCCGGCAGATGAACAACAAACGCACAGCCCGCCACCGCTGCACAGTTGCGCTCGGGGGACCGATGCTTGCCTGAAGCTGCATAGCAACATAGTTTGCCACAAACTTCCACGTCATTCCCTGAGCCTCGAAGACCCCTGAAGCGCAGAGCAGGCAAACAGATTGCCGCAAAAAAGCCCCCTGATCGATCAGACACATAAGAGCTGCCAAGGAACGCAAAGAGGAAACAGCAACAACGCGCGGGCGCGCGCGCGCGAGAGAGAAGACTGAAGAGAAAGAAAGAGAGAGCGAAAAACAGAAAGGGAGACAAAGAAAGACAGAGAGTGTGCAGTTCACAGTTGTTACAAAACAGCAACCCACAGAGGACCCCGCCAAGGCAGCGCACTGTCCTCCACTTCCCCTACACACCCTGCCCAAGGCCACCCACCCACCCACCCACCCACACATACACGCACACACACACACACAAACATAAACATAAAGGGCGCACCGTCGCAAGCAAACACCAAAATGTCTCCCGGTTTGACTTTGATGGTCCGTGAGTGCGGCAAAGCCACCACCTTCTGCTGAGAAGGTAGCAAATCGCTTCGGTTCTTCATGCGCTGCGCACAACACAACGTCAATTCTGACCATTCCCCCATGAAAATCGGCTCCAAACCCGTCACACTTTTACCCTCGCTCAGCCTTGCAGTCCACCCGGGGTCGAATTAAGCTCCTCTCTGTAAGACCTGCATTGCCCTTTCCTCCAAAGGCCGCAACCCTTGAACCCGATAGTTTGTGGCACCCATGGAGCATGGTGGCAGAGAATTTTCGAAAAGCTCCGCCGAAGGAAGGCTAGGCCGTCCATGTTCCACAGTCGCAGGAAATATACGAGGGAGGCAGGAGGCGAAGGTTATACAGAAAAAGCCAGCAGAAAGCCCAAAGGAGGCAGAAGCGGAGAAGGATTTCTTTGCTCTCTGTGTCTATGTCTCTCTCTCTCTTTCTCTCTCTCTAGTCTTGCTTCCACAGCATCCTTTTCCCCCTCCCTCTATTGCTCTAAAGAGCACAGAGTGAAAGAATCTGAATGCTGTGGGGCCTTACGAAATCGCCAAAGCTACGACTCAGGGCAAGGCGCCCATCAATTCTCCAAACGGCCATTGCAGTGCGAATGACAGATCCCCCCGCTCGCCGTACACGACTCATTTCTAAGGGGTCGCTTGGCTTCTGATCAACAGACATTGGCGTAAAAGTGCCGTCTTCGTGCAGAACCATCAAACGGGAGTCTCCTGTAGGCGCAAAACACACAGATACGGCCACCCGCACAGAAACACGTATGCATACACAGGCACCAGCTGCGTGTGCACCTAGGCAGTGACACCAGTGTTCTAATTGTACAGCTACGCGCACAAAAAAGATTGTAGGGGAAGCGCGCACACAGGCGCCTCCCGCCAAGAGAGCTACGCGGCTTTCGACCCGCCCTCGAGCCTCAAAAGCACAGAGGCCTTTTTACCTCCTTCTCTCCCACGCCGCTGTATCAATCACACAGCGGAGTCGAAAATCGACAAGGCACATTCCCAAGAGAGCGCGGAGCACGCGGAGAAGGCAGGCATGAAGTCGCTCTTTGCAACGCCAGCGCGGCTGCACCACCTACCGATGTTTGCCACATGAAGCATATACTCCGGGATGCCGGGGTCTATAGCCTCCATCACAGCAATGATGCCTGCACATCCACGCAACGCTGCATTCATGCAGAGATCGCTCGGTCCTTGAAGGGGCTGCCGCACGCTTACCCAGAGGCGAAGCGCCTACCTCCTACCGCGCCATTAAAAAAACAGGCAGGAGCGACTTGCCGAGGAGGAGAAAACAAGAGGTGCAGGGATAACACCACAAATCGCTTCTTACCTGTCGAGCCAGGGCCGATAGGAACATCTGGATCGCTGCGTAGCGCAGCGTCGAGGGCGAAGCTCGCCTTCGCAAAGGCGTTCGCCGAAAATTCCTGCATGCGGCCTGGAAGCCGCACCAGCACAGTCGTCGAAGCAGAACAGTGTGAAGCCTTTCTTAGGAAAGGAGATGCGCACGCTGTGCATTTGCGAGCGTCGAAAGCAGCACTTCCTGCAAGAAGGCGCGCCGCCCTTCAGAAATTACAACACACACCCCTATAGCAGAGGCGCACGGACTGCCAGCAAGTGTCAGGGGTACAGCGGAGAAGGTCGGGAGAAATCAAACAAGCCTTTAGAGGGGACCAGCCAAGGGCGGCGCTGCCCGCGGAATTTCAAGCACTAAGATGGAGCACAGACGGAAATGTGCAGCTAGCCAGGCATACAGTACGGCAGGCGCTCCCCAAGAGTCTCAAAGCACCCTACCAACAACAGGCTGCAGAAAAGACGCGAAAAGAGGCGTAAAAAACGTTCAAGAGGAGCAGAAACTTACCATAAAAGGTGGGTGCGAGGACTGAGCACTTGCGGGAGACAATGTAGCCTCCATGTCCATCAAAGAGGGCCTTCAACCTTGATCCTGGACGGCCTGGGAGGGGGGCTGCAACGAGCATTGCCTAAACACACATATACATACATATATACATGCACACATACACATCGATACACACACACATATATATACACATACATAAATGCACGCATATACATACATACATAAATGCACGCATATATATACATACATAAATGCACGCATATATATGTACATACATAAATGCACGCATATACATACATACACACTTGCACGCATATACATACATACATACATGCACGCATATACATACATACACACATGCACGCATATACATACATACACACACATACATACACATACATTCATATACACATACATACATACCCATGCATTCATATACATACACACACATGCATACCCATACATACCCACACATACACACATGCCACATGAAGCAGCCGCACCTGCATGCCGGTTCTCCCTACAGAGAATTGGCACTCACCAACCCCTAATCAGCACCCCAGTGTCAACGTGGATCACAAGAAGGCCTCAGAATACCAAAACCAAGATGTGTGGAGCATAATCTGTGCCGCCGTTTCCAGCGATACGCTAGCTACGCTGAAGGATGCATTGTCAAAGACCCCTCCTTACCCCCCCCATGACTACCATTGCCTTCTGAAAGAGAGCAAGACGGACATGCAGAATGAGAAGTCTATATATACATATATATATATATATATGTCTATCTATTTATATACACAGAGAGAAAGAGAAGAACGGTTAACCCATGCGTACATCTTCGTCGAACGATCTCTTTCCTAGAATTGTCGCAGCAGCTGTTTCCGTAAAGCCATCCTGAACTTTCATGGTCTTTGTTTTAAGGTGGCTAGATACACACTGCTCTACTGCCCCAGAAGCACCCGTAACAGCTCCTGGCTGTTGCGTAGGGGCTTTGGAAGACTTCATAGAGAAGTGTATCGCGGCAGCCTGCCCAAGCTGCTGCTTCCCCTTCTCGCGCATCGCATCCACCAGCTGCAACAGCGCCTCAAGTTCGACATTTGCGGAGGCCACAACCTGCTGAGCATTCTCCCCCCCGATGACCCCTGGAGAAGGAAGCTGATCCTCATTCAAATCTGCTTCGCTTGTGTGCTGCTCTCTTTGCTCCTCCTCCTTCTGGTCGTCCTCTTGTTGCTCAAGCTCCTGCTGCTGCATCTCTTCCCCCTCAAGTTGATCTGCATCAATTTTCTGCGGCTGCCCTTCCGACGCGGAGGACGCATGGAGCTGCTGCTCCTGCTCCCGAGTAGCATGGCTGGACAGAGCAGACGTTTGCTCCTCCTGTTTCACGCCCTCCCCCACGGCCTCTTTAAGATTTTGGCTCGTAAATCCCGCAATAAGTAGAAGCAGCATGAAGCCCAACCGGTGCCTCCGAGGGCGATGATCGCCCTGAGGTACACCTGCAGCCATTGTGCATCCGTGGAAACCAGTTGGATGGCTACTCTTGCCCTCAACTGTACGACGTAGATACGCACCGGGCCCCCTTTACACACACCGACACGCCATGGGACCTTTCGAGGGGGTGGTGGCACCTCGATGTAAACGTCAAAAGAGGCCTCTCTAAGATGAGGCAGCAGCCGGCGGCATCTAGAAACGATATGCGGGGAGAGCGACTAAAACGGATACACCGGCAGCTGCGTCCTGTGTAAAGACTGCAGGAGTGGCAGCCGTGGCTGCTGTGCTGCTCGTGGCAGAGAAAGGAAGGGAAGGTCCAAATTACTCGAGAAGAAGGAGAATTCGCGCATGATTCGGTTTTGCAAACAGTACATGCAAAAAGCTTGGGAAAAGGCCACAAAAGAAGCATCAAGGCCCTCCCACGCCTCCCCGCCTGGCCCGCCGAGGCGCATAGGGATCGATATACATGTAAGGGCCCTCCTCGCGGGCAGGCAGTGCAGCTTGGAGCGCAATGCGTAATTGAAAGCACCCTCTGATGAGGCACTTAATAAAAGGCAGTGTTTCTAACGGCAGTCAAGGAAAAAGAAGAGGGAAAGAAGCTTGAAACGAGGACGTCCCGTAACGAGATTCTGCACAGAGGGCGCTCCGGAGAAGGCTGTCCGCCCCCGTCATAGGTAGAGCTGTGCGACGGCATGCTACGAGTTTTTGAGCAGTCGCTCGCTTCGCCGAAGGTCTTTCCCCTGGAAAGCAACATAACAACTTTAGCATCCCGATGCGTATAATAAGGCGCATGAATACATGGCATTTCGCTGGCTTCTATGGTGCGCGTGGCAGGAGAAACCGCAAGCAGACCACTCATTTCTCTCAGGCCTCACCTTGCAAGGCAACAATGTCTGCGTCAAATTGACCGGCAACACGACTCCTCGGCCGCGTTTGGTTCACCCTGAACTGCTAATCAAAGCTGCAAGGCCGTATTCTGCCTCGGAAGAAGACCATAGGCAGCACGATGGTATGCGAACCGTTCTCCACGCCGCTGCAATCAAGTACCTGTGGCATCAAAATACGGTCGGTACGCCCCAAACAAAACTGATTGCAACATTTCCTGCTTGAAGTACCTGTATCTGGAATCTGCTATGGTGCTTGCCTTCGCCAGCAAGTGTTTTCAGCTCAGGCTGCCGTGCACCGCAACTAGCCCCAGCGAGGCAGATTTCTTTGGTGACTGGAAGTGTATGCCAAAAGTTTCAAGAGAAACGTAGCTGGCCTCCTTAAGAGTATTCTTCTGCGTGGGGATGTAGCCACTCGCCCCCTCAATGTGCAGTGAAGGCTCTCTACAACTCTTACGCGAAAGCTTCATGTCCGCCTTTCGCATGATGCAACGGTCTCGCGCTAAAATCAACATTGCAAGTCTAGGGGCTGTACGTGCCTTGACTTGAGCAGTCGATGTAGTCCTGTGGGATTTAGCATGCAGAGGCTCTGGCAGACCTCTTTATAGCGGTACACCTTCTTAGCTCCCTTGGGTGTGCCTCCTCTGCCACAGTTCTGAAAGGGCACTGACGATTTCCATAGCCAGTCCTTCTCAGTCCTGCCGATATTTGGTGAAGTCATCCATGTTTACACACACACACACACACACACACACACACACACACACACACACACACACACACACACACACACAAGCAGCTATTTTGGGTAACCTCGTAAAACGACCCAAGGGCATGTGCCGTTCCCGCGCTGAATGCGTGTATATTGCCTTCTTTCCGGTATCCAGAAACAGGACAGCTTGAACAATCCGGCACACAGCGCTACAATAATTATTCCTGTTCTCTCTCCTAAAGGACACATTCCTCCGACTTTGAAAGGCTACAATGTTTTGTGTTCAAGGTAAAATTTACGTGACAGGCGCTTGTCACAGCTCACTCGGCCCGATCAAAGCGTCCACCTCCCAAAACCGGAGACTCATGCTCTGCAGGGAGGCTGGAAGCGCCACACCATGCGCAAAAACTACAAAATGCAGCAAACAAAGCCACGCGATCAACCGTTCCGCATCCGCATCACATGACAACAAACTCATGAGGACCCTCTCTTGGATTCGCCATTCATATAAGCAAGAATACATGAGGAGCATTGCGCAAAGTATTGCACACGCGATTCGGGCGTCTCAGCAGAAAGAAGGTGGCCCTTGGTACGACGCGCTTGACTTGTGGCGCTCTGCTGCTCAAATCCAATCTCTTGGAGCCCCACCATAGCGGCTAGGCTGGCGTGCCGTTGAGTAGCGTTTCCGTAAACCAGGATTCCTCTTGGCTTCAGTCATTCGAAGTAGAAGTGTCATCCAATTTAGTGGGGAGTCTATGCCAAGTAGATTTGGCGTGACACATATTTGGGCCTCCTTGCTTGATCTGCACAGCCATTTTATGTCGGTTTCGCGGTGCGGGAGAGAGGTCACTGCACCAAACTTGTACTGCCAATTACGTGACTAACGTCAAATTGCATTGTATGCAGTGCAACTGGACTTAACGAGCTGTTAGGACCTCCGTTGTTGTGGGCAAGGAAATGTGCTTCCTTGTTCTGCAGGACGCAAGGAGATAGTCCAAGCACATAGGCCTGAAAGTCTTCAAACCCAACAGCGAGCGTGTGCACCATTAAAATCAAGGCTTAACAAGGGAGATTTTGGAAGAGGGTATATCTATGCATCTTTATAGGCCCACGGAAAGGGACCCTTCCTCAGATTTGTGGCAAGAGCATTTGTGAGTTGCCGTGAGCGAGTACGGGGTACCTCCCCCACCGGGTCTGCGGGGTTCTTCCTCTTGGGGCCCTACCTAAAGTCCATAGGAAACAGAGGGTTAGTAGAACTAGCAGGGGTGGTAATACGGATGAGGGCAGAAAGCGGCTTTCTCAACAGAGGGTTAGTAGAACTAGCAGGGGTGGTAATACGGATGAGGGCAGAAAGCGGCTTTCTCAACAGAGGGTTAGTAGAACTAGCAGGGGTGGTAATACGGATGAGGGCAGAAAGCGGCTTTCTCAACAGAGGGTTAGTAGAACTAGCAGGGGCGGTAATACGGATGAGGGCAGAAAGCGGCTTTCTCAGCAAAGATGCCAGGACGAGAATCGGCAAGCGCTCTGTGCAGAGCACGTAGGCGGAGACGGAGGCAAAAGCAGCGAGCTGCATCCAGAGAAGGGAATCAGCGGAAACACACGAATAATAGAAGGCGGGGAGCACGTTGCTCCCGAGTTTGCGGCAGACCGTTGCAAGGCAGTAATACGTTGGCATTGGACTAGGCAAAGGCATTTTGTTTCCTCTTTGTTACTTTTTGGAGCATCTCGTATCGCTTGCGCAGCGTGAAAAGTACCTTGTTCAGCTGCTAGAGAGCACACAGAACAGACAAAAGGCCCTCCCAACATTTTTCGTGGTGTTTACGGCGTGTTTTTCCAAGGATTATCAAGACGGTACGAGGGATATTCCGGGCTCTACCAGCACCGCGGTTGTGACAGGCAGAAGTTCTGCATTGTCCTCTTCGCTGATTGCTGCTGAGTTGCAATCCCTCTGTCCTGCCTCGGCCACATGAGTTGCTCTACAGCCACGGACACAACGCAGTGTCAGTCAGTGCGAAGGCGTCTCCCACGGTTCCCAGTTGCCTTTGCTGTTTAGATAGGGTTTGGCAAGCTGTCCTCTTGCCCTGTAGCTAGCTCTCCAGCGGCTGCAGGTGGCGACGAGGTGACCTGGCCTGGCGCAGCAAACTCAGCCACACTCCTGTGCAAACTCGCAAGGCTTGCCCCCTAACCCTTAGTCTTCCATGCAATAATTTGAACTAACTAATGCGCATCTTTGATGAGACAAAGCACTACACTTCGGAAAACAATGACTCGGAACCAGAGGCAAGTGAAGTGGGACCTGAAAGACCTCAAATGGCTTCAAGAAGCGCACAAACGTCCTAGAGAAATCCCTGCATTCGAGGATGGCTTTTGCTTAGGAGCTGACGGAGGACCCTCTTGTGACACATTGCAAGTCGAATTACAAAAGTTCGGAGCTTCCGGTAGAGTACAAACGCTCTCCTGGAAGAGTTCACAGAGCCCAAGTCACTGCGTCCTGTAATTTGCAGCTAAGCCTCAACACCTAAGACTTCAGCCACATGCACCTATTGTAGATTCCCTAGCAGTACCCCGCTGAATGGGGGAGAAGTCGAGTTTTAAAAGTGCGGCAAAAACAAAGAACGTGAGGAGAGTGCCCTGGGTTTTTATTCAACGGCAGTCCTTCGCAAAGGCCGACGTCACATTTGAGGCCTACAAAGTTCTGCCTGATCTCTCACGCGTCCACCATCATGAGACAGCCGCGAAATATCCCGTAGAGCACTCTACAGCCCCTACTACGTAACTTTTCCTTCTTAGTCTTAGTGCCATATACATATTCCGCGCTGTTGCTACCGAATCTTCCAATGTTCTGTCCAGCTCGGGGAACTGCCTACCATCTAGTAGATCAAAAAGTTTCCCTGATAGGCCGGAAGGACCCTGGGACGCTAAAGAGACTCGCGTAACAGAAATATAGCCGCGTGGGGAGGGCGTGGCAAAAGGTTGCCACAGAGCTGCGGCATCCGCTTTCTAGTTTTCTCTATGGACCGGTCACAATTTAGAGTGCGACCCAACCTTCCTACTAAATGAAGAAACACTCAAGACCTCCGTTCTGTGGGGAGAGACGTCAAACGCGCGGAAGTACTCCAACTCGTATCTGCGCAGGACACCGAAAGAGCAGGAGCCGAAGCGCTGCGTGATTTCTGCTTCTCTGTCTTTCCTTCCGTAACAAATCCGAGGCACACAGAGGCGAATCGATGCTGTCTTGCTGGACGGTAGACACGTACAACGACCGCAGCGCAGTCGTACCCACAGGCGAGAAGAACCTTTGCATCCCTTGCAAAGGCTGGTTGCTCATGCGAGACATACACAAGGTAAGCAACTGCTCCCTCCTTGAGCCAGCGTCGCGTCTCCTGCAGCAAGCAAGCAATGGGCTACTGCTGGACCTCATGAGCACAAAACATTGTCAAGCCTCAAGATGGAAAGAAGAATGCGTGGGGCGCGCCGAGAAGGGTCGCTTGGACTCGACATCAAAAATACTCGCCTTGGGCAAGCCTCCCCTGGACGGCGCTAATAGAAGAATATCAGGGCGTGCAGTAGCCTCAGCCGCAGCATCGGCTGCACACACACACACACATAGGAGTGGGAGGGGAAGGGGATGAGCAGCTTTACACGCACTCTCCGAGAATGCTCGCTCCGAGAAGCCCGCCGAGCGCACGCCCTAGGGGGGATCACCTTCTTACCAGTCTTCCTGACGGTCGAGGGGCAGGCAGCAGAATCTCGGCCTGCTGCAGCCGCTGCCTCTGGTTGTCGCTGCCTCCATTTCTCAGTAGCATCACCAAAGACCGTCCGATCTGAGCCTTGGATGCCCGTAGCCTCTTCGTCTGCGCAATGCAGCTCAGCTGGTGTCCCTACACCGCTTGCTTGCTCCTGCAACTGTGGCAGCGCCCGCAGCAAAATCAGACACGCCAAGGCAGCGAACAGCACGAATGAATGCATGCGAGCGAGCAGGCGGTCTCCAAGCCTCTTCCGAAAAACGGCGCTGCGGCATAGTGAGCTGAGTCTTGTGCTGCTGCCTACCCTCTGCGCTTCTCCTCTCGGCATTTCACAGTGTCCTTGAATGCCCAAGTGCTCGGCAAAAGCGGCTGCAACACTCCTGTACGCCGCCACCACATGAAAGCCACACAGCCTCCCCAGAACACGTCGACTGCCCTGCGCTTTTGTGTTCGCAGCAATGCCGCGTTCATTGCTTTTGATGTGAGCTCCCCACCTGCTGTCTTTACACTCCACCACGTCCGACACCTGCAAGCCGTTCAGCACGTAGTTTTTTCTCGCCTCTTCAGCATCAAGGGCGCCTGCGGCAAACGCGATCACCTGCGCCACAAACAACATACATACACTAGCCGTCAGGCACGAAAACTCTCTCCTAGCCTGTATTTTAGCCGTACACCACTGCATCGCTCAGCCTTGCGCATCGCCCCCTCCTCAGTAGAATTGTCTGCGTGCAATCCTGATGCAACTTCAGCTGCATGCCTGCTGGTCCGCTTTTGAGGAAAAGGGCATCACGCGCTTCGATGCGTGCGCATGTGCAACCCTTCAAATACCAGTTCTCTGTGCCGGCAGATTTTTCTGCGTAAATCGCCGTGCGAGTCTATCTAGGGTGCATCACTGCCTCTTGAGGTGCAATGATGCACCCTAAAGAGGTTGCTCTTTTGATTCCATGAGTGTGTATGTATGTGAGGGTATGCGAATGTAAGTATGTGAGTGTACGTATGTGAGTGTAAGTATATCAGTGTATGTTTCAGCATGAGTGTATGTTTCAGCATGTGTGTATGTGTAAGCATATGTGTATATGTATGTATGTATGTTTATGAATCTATACATATATATATGTGTGTGTCTGTCTGTCTTTCTGTTTGAACGTATTTCTGTGTTTGTCGGGGCCCCCCTCGCCCCTCCCGCTAGCTCCGCAGCTCATGGCATTCTGCCATTTCGTGTAGAGGGAGCAACGGAGAGCGTACCTTCTCGAAGCGAGGAGCGAGCAGGACAGCGAAGATGCCACCAGATTCGAATGCCGTCCATAGGCGCCTTCTACCACCTCTTGCTGCTTCTGCCACCGCTGCCGACACCTCGTGCATTAAATCCCATCGCCCTGCAAAGCTTTCGCGAGTCCGTCCTGACGGGATGCTCAAGCACTGCATCGAGTGTTGCGCTCAGCCTCTGGCAGACTGACCACCGAGCGTACTGGAGCTGGAGGGATACGGTAGACGTGGGAAAGGGAACGAGCGAAAGCTGTAGTGCACTGGCCTGCCTTGCCTGTAGTTCTGTAGCGGCACCCCTCAAGAGTCATCAGCACGAAGTCCTTTCCGTAGAGCACTTGGTCCGGAAGGTGAGGCCTGTAGTTGTGGTCGCCGCACCATAGAGACACCAGCACTCCAGGGAGCGCATAGTGCTCGCGTGTTTGAGAGGTGCACTTATGGAAGCCGAACCTCCCGAGAAGCAGCAGGCGCAGCAGCAGTTGCAGCAGCAGTTGCTGCAGCCCTTGCAGCAGCAGTTGCACCAAGAGTTGCAGCGCCCTCCGTTAGACGAACCTGCGAACATCTTGGAAGGTAACGGCCTTTAAGGCAGGATACAGCGACGAGAGTGCCACAGCGAGCTCCTCCAAAACCGGCCGAGTGCTGTCCTCCAAGTGTCCCTTGAACCGCAGCAGCACTTCTCTGTCGGATGCTCCGGCTCCCTCTGCTTGCAGCCAGTCATTAAAAAGACACAGAAACGCACCGGTTGAAGGCCACACTTCTCAAGCAAGTCTCCGACGCTACGGAACGTACCCAGCCCGCCAGCGATAACTGCCTCAGGGAATGGCTGTGCGACGCGCATGTACACTGTGCGGGCTGCCAATTGCAAACACAGGAGGCTGTAGGGCCCCCGCAGCACTCTTTTGCAAGGCCGTCAAGCGCGCCTCCTGTACACCGCCACTCAGCACACTGCAAGGCATCCAGGAAAGCAGAAAGGATTCACAGCCCCCCGATAGGCACCTTTCGCACCCGCCAGTTTGAGCGTCACGCCACTGAGCGTTCCCGCGTAGCTTCTTGAGTCGAGGACTCGCAGCTTTCCACTCTCCAACAACGGCAGCAGGGTTGCCCGCAGGTGGTTGTACACCTCTTGCACTGCACAGCGTCCACAACGGCGGCATTCCACCCAAATTGCCTAGGCAGTCCAGCTCGTCGTGTCAGCGTACGAGAGGCGTTTTTGCATGTAGGATGTGTGCAGAGGCGCGGGAAGCGGTGCTTACGGGGCGCAGCGAGTCGAAGGCACCGCTCGATGCTGACAAGCGTGCTGCTCCCGTCAAGCGGTGGCAGGCCTATGCATGCCTTCCCGTGCATGTGCTGTACCAGCAAGTCCGCCTTCGCAGAAAATCTGAAGGAGACAGTCCAGAGCAGCACAATTTCCGCGAGTGCATCAGGGAACGGACGGAGCAGCCTGTCGTTGAGGAATGCTACCTGCAATGCCTAGGGGCGGCCAAGTGTCCAGCGCGCGAGGTCTCTAGGCAGCAGCAAGGGCGTGCAGTTGTTGTGGCAGCGGCGAGTAGTCTGCGGCTGTTGGCGCTAAGGTAAAAGCTACAATACTGGAGCTTAAGGGGAAGAGGCAGAAGACTCACTGCGTGTCGCTGCGTGCGCGGACGAGTGGCTCAACATCCGGCTCTCTACACGGGATGCCATCCACTTGGGCCTGTTGCCTTTGCGCAGTAAGCAGCTCGTGCAGCAGGTGGGCTACAAGCTGCTGCTTCGCCTTCCACTGGTACGGTGGATTGAGATGCAGGAACTGGCAGCCACTGCACCCCTCATGGAAGTGAGCGCAGGGAGGCGGCCGCTGTCCAGGGGCTGAGGACCCATGCCACACGCGTGCGACAGCAGTAGCGCGGCATCAGCAGCGTCGACGCACTGCGTGTGGCAAGAGTTTTTCAGCAGTGCATGCACGAAGCGAAGACATAGAGAGAGAGACACAGGGGGAATTTTTTTCCAGAGAAAAGACGCCTATTAATCGGGAGCTAATGTGCGCCACTGCGCAGAAGAGGCTGGGAAACGAGATCACGCCTGTAAATTGAACACAGAAGGCACCGAGATAGCACGCAGGGATACCTGCCTACAACTGAGGTGACACACCACGCACCAGGGCTTTCCGTTCCAAGAAGCGTCACCGTGCACTTGCCCTTCTTGGAATGTATGCCCTCCACACGGAGTGTGACGGTCTGTCCAGGAAGCAGACGCTGAAAAAAGGCGGTATCCTCAAAGCTCCATCGCTGCAACAGCAACCGAATGCGGCCTTCCCCTGTCCACGTGAGGGCTCCCACCTGCGCAGACACCCCATAAGGCAGGAGCTGAGGAGATTGGGAACGCGCTGAACGAGGCACTGAGGAATATCGACAAGACAGAGGCACTCAAGTGCCGTCTGCGCGGCCTAAAGGCAAGCACGGCGCACACGAGTATACCACGCAAATGCGAAGAAAAGGTGCGATGCGGCAACAGCAAGCAGGCGAAGCAAGCAAGAAAGGCGGAAATCGCGAGCTCAGCACTTCCGCAAGATAGGGCAAAGGTGGTCATGGGGAGGAAAGCTTCAAGCTGCCAGAATGCTGCTACACGGGAGATGCGCTTTGTCTAGTGGAAATCGCTCGTCAAGTGCCCGTTCTTGAGCATCCCAACCGCTAAACACTGTACTACTGGCCCCAGCTGCACCAACGCCTTTGTGAGGCGCACCTTCAGCCCACGCAGGATATCGCCTTCCCCTGCATTTCTAACGACGTTAAGGGAGCCAAGGGAGGCCCCTGAGATGGATGGCGTGGTGGTCGAGGTGCTGGCGGGAGTCGCAGCACCCTCTGTTGCAGCTTGTGCTGCTGCCTGTCCAAACGTCCTCGCAGACTTTGCAGGCAGGCAGGCAGAATAATGAAGCCATGTCGCAGCAGAGCCAGCACGCGAATACGCCAGCAGGGGCTGAAGACGCTTGCATGCACTATCAAGGGAGGGCAGGCGGGAAGTCGTCGTCAGCCACCGACTCCATGAGGCACTGGCCCCATCCTCGGAGCCTTGCCCCCTTGCAGGTGTTGGAGCACCCCTTCTTCTCGCGGCAAAGCTCCTACGCGGAAGCGCCTTTCCCAAGAACTGCAGCGTTTGCGAAAGCAGCTCAAACATGGCCAGAAACTTCTGTCTGGGCAGGCTTTCCTGCCTCGCAGGCAGCACGCGCTGATGGCTTTCTACATCGATCGCGGCGGCCCATCACTTCTGCGCAGCGCGCAGCACCCCGAGAGAGGGCTTTTGAAGCGCAAGCCAAATCTCGCACTAGATGCGGCAGGGGCACAAGGCTGAGAGTATTAGCTCGCCACGGCTAGAAGTCTCAATCAAGAAGCAGGCGTCTTCTCCTTCCTTCAGGAGTCTTGGTCTTTGCAGCTCCCCGTAGAGGCGAGGACGCCTAAGATCCTCCTGGTGCTGCAGCGTCCACTGGCGAATATTTATTCGCCTTTCAAGGCTACCCCGAAAAACGTCGTGCGTGAGCCTCCGTGGAAGCCTGCTTTCCTGCTACACCTCTCAGACTTGCAGAACGCTGCTCAAGTAGATAAACAAAAGGGAAAAAACGCTCCGGGATCAAAAACAAAAGCCTTAAAAAGGCTCAAGGACGCCTTCTACGAAGGCTGCTACCCACAGAAAGCCTTGATAGTAAGGGGCCCCCCTCCCAGGGCACCCTGGCCGTTCCTGAGGATCGAGTGTGCGTTGGGGGGCAAAGCGAGCGCCTTCGCCAGATACATTTGACAAAAGGATGGCTGTTCAGTTGATGCAAAGGCGTTTCTGGCTCTGGAGTCGACTGTTTCACAGATCCCGGCACACGGAATTTCTCGGTAGGCCCCAGAGAACCTGACGGCTGTGTGTTTTGGGTTCTGCCTTCCTCTCCTTCTGTGCCTTCTTCCGAGGAAACGCGCAGCGAGACGTGTGTGTTTAAAGAGGCACCATTATATTTCGTACGGAGAACCCCCCCTTGTCATGGCACTTATGCTCGAACTTGCAGCTACCCGCACTCCGCCCGCTTGCCACGACGATCGGGCCCAACATACTGCGGGTAAACAGTCAAAATATCAATATAGTGTGAGCCTGATGATGCTTTATATTTAAAAGGTAGCAGAGAAAAAATCCCGGAAGAAGCCAACACATAAAGCAAAAGACTTGGACTGACGGGGAATTGAACCCCGGACCTTTTGCATGCAAAGCAAACGTGATACCCCTACACCATCAGCCCTTGATCTAGGTTGCCTTTTAGCCGTGCGTAAACCCGGATGCACGAGGAACAAATATTACTAGATTCCACACCCGCTTTCATGGTTGTTCAAACGCACACGACACATTCTGAGAGAGCAGTTCTAGCTTATCATGAATTCCTCCTCACTCTCGTAAGTCATTTAGAGGAGCAGAACTCGGGAACAAGCTCCCTGTAGTGGTAGCATGTTAACACAACATAGCGTTTTTGTATGCTGCCTAGGATTTGACGCTCTTTTCTGATGGTTGGTTGGCATATCTTACTCCATGAGCAGGGTAAAGAGGCGTGTACCGGTAACCACCAGGAAAATAGCCGGCACTAACTCTCAGTTGGTAGAGCGGCGGACTGTAGACGCTGCGGCTATCTGATAGGTCCTACTTTGACTCTGACGTGCTGCACTTTTCATGCTTTTTGGGGCAGCGTGTACGTCCTCGTGTACGTGTACGAGCGTGGATGTGTGCACGTGTGTAAATGTGTAAGCATGTATGTCTATGTGCCTTTATGTGTTTGCATGTGCATGTATGCCGCGATACAACATGATTGCATGTTAATAAGTACGTCATGTTTTACTTGTGGCATGGCAGAGTTGGGTGGAGCGTAGCGGCGCCTCAGCGCTACAGAGTGAAGGTGCCAGCCAGTTTCAGGATTGTCTTGTTGTTGGCGTCACTTCCCTGTGGACTTTGAGGAATACGATCGTGCCTGCCGGTTCGCCTTGGAGCAATAGAGCAGTTTTGATTAGAGACATAGTTCGTTAGACGCAGTCCCTAAAGGACCTCCTGGTGCCGCTAACCTCTGTAATGCTCACAGCACGCGGACCGCAAGACTTCTGAGGGGATCCGGCTGTAAGGGCACCGTCTTTAGTACAAACCATAGACCAATCATGTGGTTGCTCAAGTGCTCACATAGAGCATTGAGGCCCCTTAGGCCTTTTTTGGTAGCTGAAGCGTCCATTCCGAGCTTGCCTTGAACGGGAGTGCGCGAAAGACGCTTTGGCGAAAGACCATCGCATTTTCATGTGTCTTCATGTGCTTGAGATCACATATCCAAGGTTCTCACGACAAGAAGGCATCCCTTACCTGAATTCTGGAGACGACCTGTTTTGTTAATTAGTGACCCTCCTCTAAGGGGACCTCAAGTACCCTGCGAGCTGATCGCGGCCCCTCTTGCAGGCACATTAGAGCGTGACATTGGAATCGCAAGTTCTCGTCAGACTTAACGCCGAGTGGGGAGCCACGGTATAGCTCATAGGCTGCAGTTGTCTTTTGCTTAGTCCTGTGTGCGTTTCCCCCAGCGAATGCGCCTGTAAACGCTGAAATGCCCATGGCACTGCAAGGCGGAGGACCTCAGATTTACAACCAAGAAAGGGCGCCGACATCACCCAGCGAGGCTTTCAAGAAGAAAAAGTTTTGGCGAATGGGGACCGTTCGAGGTTCAGTGGCCTTGGATTCTGCTTCCTTCGCCGGCGGCCAGCAAGAAAGCTCTCCGCAAGGGCTTGATGTACATGGACTGGCGCATCCTGCCCTCAAGGGGTGGAGTGGTGCGGGCTCACCCACCAGCATAAAATGCAAGCAAGCTCATCGCTCTTTACTTGCTGCTTGTCCACACTTTTTTTTCTCCTAAGCTCTATCGTTAAAGCATTGGTTTCTCCCCTCACACTTGCTTTAGACGTCGGAGAGAAAGCTGCAGCCTATTCCTCTATGTCTCACACAAGCGAAAAATTTCGTGTGGCATAGTTCCACGCAGTTCTCTGGACGCTTAGCCCTTGTAATTCGCCGGCGCAGTGCACCGACAAGAAGCCTCAGAATGGAGGACACGACAAGGAGCTAGCGGTGCAGATCCTTGACGCCAGCTCTGCAGGCCCCGTGGTTCGGTTTTTGACCAGCCGTGTATGTTGTCGCAATGCATAGCCAGAGCAGTTTACCGCTGCCTTCGAGCGCGTTGAGGAGCACTCTTGTGGGAGCGGAGCTTTTGAGCTTCGTTGCAAGGGGTGCCAGCCAGGCGTGGCTGGCCAGCTTGCTGCCCCTGCAGTGCTTTGGCGGCTTGCGGAGAACGCCAGATCACCTCGGTAGTTGGAGTTTGTTGAGATGAACACACATCCGTGTCGGTGCACGACAGGTTGCGGTTGTTCGTCTCCTTCGCAGCAAGCGGGTGGGTGCCACATGGGCCCCCGCATTCCCCGATGTCTAACAGCGTTACGTCCTACGTCGTTTGAGGGGGAAGCAGTTGCCCCTCGCCAGCAGCCACACGGCTGGCCAGGGGCTAAGACTCATAGAGATCGGAGCCTCATTGCAAACTGTTCAAGATAGAGGCTTAAGAATGCGGCATATGGCCTTGCCTGCCTTCAGACAGCGAGCACTTGGGCTATCTCAAGGCCCGTTGGTCGGTACTGGACAGCGAAAAATCTAGCCGCATAAACTGCGTGGTCCTACCAGCGCTATGACGAGTGTTACGCTACTCTACAGTAGAAGGCTGCTGCTAATACCCCGTGCCACCCTGCCTAGGGGTTCCAGGGGATCAGCACGTGCATCCCAACTCCAAAAAAACGTAGTGTGCACACACGCTAACAGAGGCCTCGAGCGCATCACAACACGCAATAAGGACCTAAGAGCTGCTGCTGCATGAGGCCGCGGTAACACGCGGTTGCCGCGATTTTCGCGCTGCAAGACTGGCGCTGCTCGGGGGAGAAGGCACAGCAGCTGGACGGGTGTGTGTTTGTTGGCTGTCCGACAGCGCGGGGATGAACGCATGCGTGCATGCCGTCAGAGTACATTAAAGCCGAATGTTTTCCTGGCCAGAAGCCTCCGCCAAGGAAGAGACGCGCACACTTTCACGATGCAGCTATTGGACTGACTGCCTCTGCAGGCAGGAGCGCTCAAGCCAAGTGGAAGACTGACTTTCTCTAGAGAGTACGGCGTCCCCCCCCGGCTGGGACCTACAGCAGCACAGTGACTCAGATTCCGTCCTGTCTGATCGCAACAGCAGATTTCGGCTGCTGTTGCTGCGTTAAAGAAGGACGAAGGGCCACAGTCAAGAGCATAAAGAACTGCCCGAAGGGGCCTTTGCTTCACAGGTGGCGACCAGGTAGGTAGCTGCGTTGGCGCAGCAGTGGAAACGATTTAAGGCGCGTTGCTGCAAGAAGACGCATACGGCGAAAGCACTTATACGCGCTGCCTGCTGCGGCTTCCTAGAAGCCCCTCAATAGTCCTCTTCTGCCGTACGGAGAGGCATTGCCTCATTCGGCTGCGGCGCACCCTGATGATAGGGAGCAAAATGCAGCTTCTCAGGGTGTACAGGGACGCCCCCAGAGCCCGCTTCCCTAAAGCGCAGCAGCAGGAGAGCAACAAGGAGTCGCTGCCAGAGGTTGACACGGAGTGCCTCAGGGGTGTTGAGAGCAAGCAAATGCGGGACGAGAGCATCATGCAGTTGGTGAGAGGCACCACAGACGCAGTATCGATTGCGCCAGAGGATCGCACGTGCAGCCTCCGTTCAACTGGGCACAAGTGAGAGGAACCCTGCGGATCGAGATTTTCAGCGGCCTAGAAGGGGATTAGCGAATACGTGAGTGGCTGGCGTAAGGCTTCTGGGGCAGTGTGTGCTGGCGATACTGCACTTAAGAATTGCGCACTTTAAACGGGCTTTGATGAGGTCAGGATGAAGCAGCAGCACGTGGTGGCCCTGAAGGTACCTGCAGCAGCAGCAAGAGCAGAAAAGCAGCCTCCTTTGGCGAACGGGCAGCAAACCAGCGTCTCTAAAGTTCTTTATCACGGCGTGTTGATTGCTCCTGCAGCATGCGGGTGCTCTTTGTTCGTGCAAATCGCGCCAGCAAGACCCCTAACGTAACCCTAAGGCCGGCAGCAGGACATATATATATATATACCTATATATATATACCAAGGAAGCAATCGCATCAGCAAGAGCAACAGCAGCAGCAGCCTTCGTCGTGCACACTCCAGGCACGCGCGAAGCATACCTGAGAACGCCAATTTCCTCGAGAGTCCTTTGAATATCTTCGGGACGGATGGCGGTAGCCCTCACCAACTCCTGAAAAAAAAGGCGCATGCAACAAAAGCCCCAGAGCTGGAAGGAGGCCACCAGTAGCGCAACCCTCGAAAGCCTGCAGGCGTGCCGCGTGAGACTCTAAAAGAAAGGCTGGATACCCTATGCATGCGCATATGGAATTTACGCTGCAGCAGCAGCACCAGACCCTTGTAAGAGCACTTGGCCAAAAACAGCCACTAACTCGCACGTGTTGCATGCGTGCGCTGCTGTAGCGCACGCATGCACGCGCTAACTCGCAGGCGCTACAGCAGCTCGCGTCACAAACGGGCCCCACAGAAAAGCCCCTCAGCGTACATGAATAGAAACACGCTTCTTGCATGCCCACTGCGGTTCTGACAGGAGATTCAAGATGCGCCAACTCCACCATCCAATATAACTCAAACGGCCTAAGTCAGAGAGGGGCCTCTCCGGCCCTCCCCGCTTATTCTCCTTCAGAGACAACACGTAGCTGAAGGAAATAAGAAAGCGTCCATAGCCTTTCCGCTGGTGCTGCGGCAAAGTCAGAATGCTGAAAATTGGAAACATACACACGTACAAACACACGCAAAGCCCATACAAAAACACAAACATACATACGCAGAGCCCACACAAAAACACAAATACATACATACGCAGAGCCCGTACAAACACACAAATACATACACACACATGCATACACAACACGAAACACAGGCACCTGTCTGGCCGGCTGGTAGCTGCTCGTGTCGCTGCTATGCGGACTTTTGCCGCAGCCGAGAAGAACTGAAGTAACAGTTTAACAGCCGCATGTGCGCCTCTTAAACGCGAGTAGGTTGGTGCTCCCTCAGGCAAAGCCGCAACAGAGCACCCAAGCAAAGGACTGCAAGGCTCCCCACGGATGCAGGCACGCTGAACACAATGTCAGGGCTGATTGGCACGTGGTGTTTCGCCTTACCAGGCCAAGTTGTATCCTTGCAGAGATACCTTCTCCTGCACAAGGCATCGCAATTTCCCGAGCTGCACCTGCGCCTCTTCCGGAGGGCAAGAGTGTTTTTCTCTAAACAACAACGCATTGCTGCTCACGCGCAGCGGCAGAAGAGACTGCTTAGAATTGTCACAGCAGCAAGCCACCTCAAAAAGAGGCACACGTGCACAGGAGGCAACAAGAACCTCGAGAGGCCATACCTTTGAGAAGTAGCCTATAAGATGCGCGCCACCCGAGTCCACCTACATACCAGCACATATTCATACATCTATATACATATATATATATACATACATCTATATACGCGTATACATACATATGTACATCTATACACATACATATATACATCTATACACATCTACATACATATATTCATCTATATACATATACATACATATATACATCTATATACATATACATTCATACACACATACATCTACACAAATATACACATACACACATACATCTATATACACATCACCAAAGCCAAACAGCTATCGAGCACCCAGACCGCTGCACTGAGCAGACGCTGCAGGACGCGCAGTTGCACTCCCTACACACCTCAGTAAGCACGTAGAAGAGGAAAGGCTCAACGTCGAACTGAAGAGTCTTGTGATCCAGGAACAGCTTCGCCAGGAAACACAGGTTCTCCTAAACGCAGAAAGCAAATCTAGATCAGCAGCTGCTGCCGCATGACGTGTCCACGGCTGCTTTGTAATTGCTGCTAGGGAGGGGCTGAAAGGACCACAAACAGGCGATGGAGATCCACCCACACTATACACGCGCGCGGTTTTTCCATCGACCTCAAACATGGATAACCTGCAGCAGCGAAGGCAAATCGAACCATCGGCAGCAACAAAAGGAGGGGTTTAAAACGATCCCTTGGGGCATATTGTTGCCAAAAAGCCTACACGACGGTGTGTGCACTGTCGCACAAACACGCCTCTCATCGAGACTTTATCCGCGGCAAAAACACACAGCGATGTGTCGCGCGTCAGAATTTCACTTAGATCTGCGATCACGATGGCAGCACCAGGAGATCCACCAATCAAAGCTCACTGTCCGTCTCGGTAGATTTCATTTCCCGGCGGGTGTCTCGCCGTACACCTCAGCGAGTGCGTTTGCAATTCTGACGCTTTGAGGAAGAAGGTCAGGCAGAACTCGCAGATATGCAGCTGAGCTGCCTGTGCTTCCGCAGGATACGGAGAAAAGTACCAAGTATCCAATTCTTGTCCTCCAAAGAAAACTTTGTTGATCGTCTTGACTCGCGTGGCCTCCTCATGCGCTGCCAATGTTGCAGAATCCATGCCTTCATGTTCCTCCTCATCATGCTGAAAAAACACACGCGTACTCACGCACGTAGAAATCAAACACACATACAGAGGATCAAAGAACGATGCAAGCACGGCACGCGTGAGATATATGTGCAACTATACACGTATAGCGTATATATACATGCGTATACAAATAGATAGATATATAGAATACTCGTAGATCTCTCTATATACAAATGTGTCAACAAACACAAAGAGATGCATACAGATTAAGCCGCATACGTTATTCATAAAAGGATACCATATACACCTGCGTGAAGATACAAATATATACATATACATGCATAAAATCGAAATGGCGAGATTTCCCGAGATCTTGATAGAGCAAGAAGACAGCGATCATCTGTTAGATTTCAAATGCATGTGCGACATTGAAAAAAAATTGAGTATGAATTCTAGAGTAATGCGTGCAATGAGGAGGCCATGGCAAGGCCTTTTTTTTAGGTGTCCGCGTCCACACCTACCGATCGCTGTAGACGGAGCCACAGGATGCAAATAGACAGACCGCTATGCGAATAGCGATTGCATGGTGGATTCCGCACATAAATAAATAAAAATATATATATATACATACATATAATGTATACCTAAACCGATATATATATATATATTTATACTTTTATGCATACATATTTCTTCGAAGGTTTTAGCAAGACACATACATATCCGTGCACATATATATATATATATATATATATATATATATTTACATCGATATATGAATAGATAAATATAAATACATATAAATACATGTGTAGATAGAGACATATATCATTGGAACCTATTAGAGAGAGCGGAGGGGTGTGTTGCTGACATCTGAGAAGACGAGCGAGGGGTCGAAGAGGAGCACTTTGAGTTCTTCAGCTTCGGTGTTTCCCTCGGCTTCGAGCTGTTTCCACGCCGCGGCGGCAGCGCAATCTGCGTCTTCCTCTTGCGAGGCGTTGGCAGTGGCTGCTGGTGGGAGAGCGGATTCTGCAGCCTTTCCTGCAGGGAAAGAAGCCGTGGCATCTGAGGGTGGAGGCCCCTTGTCTCCGTTCGCGAGTTTCATGCGCTTCGGCAGGTGTTCTCCCCCCCCTCCAAGACTCGCTGCGGCAGCGGCTGCAGCATCGTGAGGCAGCGGAGAGGATAGACTCGGTGGGAGGGGGCAGCTGCCTCCTGTAGATCTGTGGTAGCTCGTCGGGGGGAGCACGCGGCCTTGCGCATTGACGGGCAGCAAATCCGAGAAAGGCAGCCAGCAGTCCAGCCGTCTGTTGGTGAGTCTGTAATGTACGTAATACTCGTAGTCGGTGGGAGTGGTGGAAGCTGCTGAGGCACCGGCTGGCTCGCAGTTGCTGCTGCTGGCGCTTGTACTGCCGCTCACGTCGTCGTCCTCGCAAGATGCAGCGATTCCGCCTCCCCCCGGCAGACCTGACGCTTTCAGAAACGCAGCCTTACTGCTGCTACTGCTGCTGCTCGTGCTGCTGCTGCTGCTATTACTGCTGTTCTTGGAAGAAGCCCGCGGCAAACTGGGCTGCAACACTTCGTCTGGCAGATGAGAACCTGTCTCGCCATGCGACCTCACCGACAGTATCTGCGGCAGCAGTTGCATCACAGCACAGTCAGCCGCATCTGGAGAAGCAGCACCGCTTGCTTTCCCCGCAAGCTCAAAGCCCAAGGGCCAGCAACAGCAACAGCTGCTGCTGCTGCACGGGTGAGCCAGAGGGAGCCTCATAAAGCGTCTTCGAAAGAACGCATGGTAAAAGTTTGGCAGCAGCAGAACCCCGTCCTCTCAGCAGCTCTCCCAACAGCAGCACAACGCAAGGGCTTATAAAGGGGAGAGAGAGAGTAAATGAGGGGGAGAGAGTGAATGGGGGGGGCGAGAGTAAATGGGGGGGGGAGAGAGTAAATGGGGGGGGCGAGAGTAAATGGGGGGAAGGAGAGAGTAAATGGGGGGGGAGAGAGAGTAAATGGGGGTCAAATAAGGAGAGACTGAGGGGGGAAAGAGTGATGGGGAGAGACTAAATGGGGATGAAAGAAGAGTAAATTGGGTGGATGAGAGAAGAGTAAATGGGATGAATAAAGAAGAGTAAATGGGGTGGATGAAAGAAGAGTAAATGGGGTGGATGAAAGAAGAGTATATGGGGTAGATGAAAGAGAGTGATAGAGTGATGGGATTGATGGCTACCTTGGCGAGCCGAAGTCGGCCGGTTGGCTTGAAGAGAGCTGCCACCCACTGATTGGTGCCGAGACACCGCGCAAGTTTTCCACCACCACCACCACCACCAGTAGCGGAGCCCCGCGGGGGTTGCTGCGATTTGCTGGTGGTACGCTGCACAGAAGGCAATCGGGCAGAAGGTGCTCCAATGCTGATGCTGTTGCCCACCCTGCTGGCATTCGCTGCGTCTGGAGGAACCGTTTTATCCGTAGTTGCATGCTGGTGCGTCTCGGGAGCGGCTAATGCTGCAGGATCGGGTGCAGAGTTGGGTTCACGATTTGCTGCAGAAGTTTGTTCAAGATTTGGTGCAGGATTGGGTTCAAGATTTGGTGCAGAATTGGGTCCAAGATTCGGTGCAGGATTTGGTTCAAGATTTGGTGCAGGATTCGCCGCGTTCACGGGGGCTAGCAATCCGCCTCCGTGAGCGGCAGGCTCCAGCGACTCCATGGGACTGACACTGCTGCTGTTTGTGCTGCTGCGGAAGATGCTGGATTGTTGGAGCTGCATCTGCGGGTGCTGCCCCCCTTATGGAGGTGAATGACGGCGCGTGGTTACCTATAAACGCTGCAAAGGATGCGACCCCTGGGGACTGCAGCGGCACTCTCTGTGGCTGCTGCTCTTGCTGCCCAGCTGCATGCATGGCTTCTCGTACTGCACCGGCAGCGGCTGCTGTTGCTTGCCCCACTGCCCGTGCGGTTGCTGCTCTATTAGCGTGGGGAATCGCTCCCAAAAAAACCCTCCCAAAGACCACACGCGCGAGCGCCCGTTTTTTGCCGCTGCTGCAGCGGCAAAAACACACGGAGAAGAAGCTCTCTCCGCTGGACAGGCGCCGGCTGCAGCAGACGGCTTACGAAAGAAAGTAGAACAACACTTCGCTGAATGGCGCCGCAGCTGAAGTATAGGCTGTCACCGCTCATGGGCCTCCCGCCACCCCAGCAGCAGCAAAACAGCAGGAGACGCCGCCGCTCCTGCAAGACAGAGCGTCTCTCTTGTCTCTAAAAGCCTTAGAACTTGGAATTGTACCCGTTCTTTCCCCTCCTCCCACTGCTGTTGCAGAGGGCCTTCGCCGCCTGCTGCCGCCGACCGGCTGAGCGAGCAGCATTTGAGCGGGGCTTTCCGCATGCAATCCGGAACCCTAGTACCAAGTAACGAAAGGCGAATCATTAGCGCACGAAGGTCAGAAATATTTGTCTTTCGGGACAGTGAGCAGGTGTTAATATTGGAAGAACTACTAATCCCAGCGCTAAACCAAAACGCGGATTCAATCCACTCATCAGCAACCACTCATCTCAGCTACACCACCTTCTGCATCACACACCCCATGGGTTGAAGAACCACCCACTGGCGCCACGTATCCAGAAAACCTTCAGTGAGAGTCTTCTGGAAAACACTCTATATATAAACAAGCTTTGCTGCTCACTGCCCGACATGGCAATGCCCTCCTCAAAGTCGGGCTCCTTGGCGGGTGCAGACGACTTTCTGGCGAACGTCTGCGCAAAAACACATCGTATCGAACTTTCACAGCCATGAAGCATGGATAGAGCTAGCCTAAAGGACTCCGGACAGGTTGCCGGATGTATTCCAGCGTTTCACACACGCATAGCTGACAGCCAAAGGTTTTGATTCATAGAGCGGCACTTGGTCTTCACAAGGTCATCTACGACCTGAGACAAAGGCGTTTACAACCCTCACAAATCAGTTTTAAAAGCCCATCTTGATTTTTTAAAAATGTCTTCTCTTTTTGTCGTGAGCCCCGACGGACTTAATTGGGCCTAGGGTGCGGAGAGGCAGCTGGGTTGCCGTTAGCAGTACCCCCAGAACCAAAAAATTGGTCGCATATAGAGCGGCATAGCACGCATGGGCACATAACACATCCTTATGGCAAGCCTTCTTGTAACGTGTTCATAAGAAAATCTCCAAGCAGGGAAAATCAATGTCTCTCCGTAGTTTTTTGTGGGCCCTGAGAGTCTTCATTAGGCTCAAGTTGCACAGAGGCAGCTGCGATGTCGTTAGCAGTACCCCCAAAGCAGCCGAATCGGTACATCTAGAGCGACATTTTCCTAGTTTTGCCGTACAGAATGCGCTTCCCTCCTTTGCTGTGGGGAGAAGGGAAGGAAGACACTAGCGGTATAAAACAGGTGGCAAGATTGAGCCACATAACATGCTAACCCAGCTGCACACAGCGCCTTAGTGTGCAGACGTGTATCGTGCCTTCGCATAGTATAGGACTAACCAGAAACAGATACATTCACTACGTAAAGAAACTGCCAAAGCGTGTAGTCAGAAGTAAGACCAATCATCATCAAATGCAAATGCTTTATTAGCACTTGTTTGCCTTCCTTTGCAGAGAAGATATATTGTTCCAGTGCGTGCCTAGCCGAATCGACTGTCTTTTGCAAGAATTCCCACGCGACACTTAACTCAGGTACACCACTGGGGACTTGCAGGGCTGTTGGCGACAGTCCATTTCAAGTTGAGCGTTCCTCCAACACCAGCTATCGATGCAAGCATTGTAGGGCTTTGTCAAAGGTCATCATCAGAAGATACTTCACTACAAAATCCCAGCGAAGTTGATAGAAAGTTATTGTCAAACTCCCTCCCAAATTTCCCCCTTTCCGAGCTCGCGCCCCTCGAAGTTTCCCCCACAAGGAGAGAGGAACAGGCAGGTTGCGCACAGCTGGACCCTTTAAGCACTCCCCAAACTTCACAGCCTGCTGCACATTGCATCTAGCCCAAGGACACACTCATACACACACAAACACAAAACGTTGCGCCTTTGTGCCGCGAACTAATTGTACCATGCACTAAAGTAAGTAGAGAAACAAACCAACTTGTCAATTCTTTACCAATTTTGATTCAGCAATAACTGCTGTAGTGTTTAAAGATTTGGGGTTTTGCATGGCCCGATACACGACTAAAGTCGGCCATCTTTAAAGGTTGCTGCCTGTGATACATTAGTTTCCAGGAATCGGGGCATAAAATGCGGGTAGCAAGGTCCCCCCTTGTGCGTACAAGCAAACAAGGAATTTCTGACGCCTGCGCTTTGTGCCCTGTGTGGCCTCCTTTGCTGGGGAGTATAGCTGAGACTGCATGAGCTGATATAGGGAGGAAAGTCCAGCCTTTAGGAGGCCTCAGAGTTAAGACATACTTCTGGACACCACGAAGACTCTGCAGGGCAAGGAGTCGCTTTTAACTGCACAGGCATCATGCCCCTGTCTGCGGATCTGTCTTGGCCTTCCGCTTCCTCCAGCAGTTTATCACCACGGCATCCCCTCCGAGAAGCAAGCACCCCCTTGCCCCTCGCATAGTCCCTCTCTGTGACTCTTCTCCACTTCATTTGGAAGCCAGCTTCGTCTCGGCCTTCATATCGCTCGCCCGTGTATGCTTGGTGCTCTTATTCTCATCCTGCATCCCATCGCACCAGGCTGCTGACTGCCCTATGCTCCGTTGGTGGAGCCTGTTTCCCAAGCACCTCATAGGACGAACAACCCCGATGTGTAAATGAATTTTACAGGGGCAGTGGTAATTTTAAGGAGAGGCGATCCTCACTGTCAAGTTCTGCAATAGAAAGAACTGTGAAACTTTCGCTAGCAAGCTATCGGATGTCAGTTGCAGCAGACATCCGGGGAGAAGGAATTTTTCTAATAAGATGCGGAGGTTTAGTGCAGCCACTGGGTGCATTAAATGGACGTCTCCATATGTTCTTGGGGAGAGTTAGAGTAAGATGCCACAGTCCAACTTGAATTTCCCCCCATGGGTGCTCTCGTATCAGAGATCCCTCCATGCAGATATGTATATGTACATATGCATACACCAAACCGTGAGGCGCGGTAGGTGAGGTAAACGTGCGGGCTGACAACAGCCCTATAAAGGTGCTGGCGCTCGTGTGTGTGTGTCTGTGCCCCAATGCAGCGACTGCGGCAGCAGCAGAGGACAATGAAATCTGTAGGGTGGGTGTTGGTGTATGCGCGAAGGCCGATAGCCAGTCCTAAATCCTCGTGTGGAGCATTTGCAGCGTACGTATGTATGCCCCCTTCAAGAGGGCGGTGCTCCGTCGCAGCGCGTTTCAGCAACATGCCCTCAGATGGTGGGACTTGCAAAGTCGTAAGACAAATAGATACTAGCTCCTACGCAACAACTTCTGCCTCGGGGAGGGCTGTGTTTTGAACTGGCCATTTGCAAACCGGGCATTTGTCGCTTTGCTGCAGCCAGGTGTCTACGCAGCTCGCATGAAAGAAATGAAGACAGGGGAGAAACCGAACAAGCTTCCCCTCGACAAACAGATCCAAACAAATCGCACACTTGTCCCTCTCCCCCCCCTCCTCGCGTGCCGCAGAGCCACTACTGCCAGAGGAACGTCTACTGGAGGACGCCTTTGGCCGGCTCTTAAAGGGGAGTGCCGGCAGCTGCTGCAAGACATGCGCGGGCGTTCCTTGCTGCTGCGGCTCCTGCTGCCCAAATCCAGACTCCCACCACAAATGCTGCTGCTGCTGCAACGCTTGCAGTGCTTCCTCGGACGCGTGAGCCTCCGGTGCAGCAGCAGCAGCAGCAGCGGCAGCGGCATCCTGCCGCTGCCACGGCAGAAGTGCCCTCCTAGCTCTCCGGCGTATAGCCGGACCAGCAGCAGCAGCTGCTGCTGCTGCTGCACCCAACGAGCCTGCAGCAAGGCTCTGCTGCGGCCGCATGGTCGCCACCATGCGGCGGTGCTCCTGCTGCAGCAGCTGTTGCTGCAAGTGCTGCTGGTGATGCAACAGCTGCAGACGTTGCGAAAGCCCTTGTTGGATCACAATGTACGGCAGCAAATCCAAAGGCCGCATATCCGGAGGCCCCACACGTGGAGAGGCACTTTGCCCATCAGCTGATACACCTCTCACCGCCGTTGCAGCAGCTGCTGCTGCTGCTGCTGCCTCGTCTTGTTCGCTGGCTGCTTCTGACCGCATACGACTCAAATAGCGCCGACCACATCCACTCTCTTCTCTGCTGAATTCCCCCCACAAAAAGGCTGCTGCATCTCCGTTCCAAACGCTGCCCCCTTGCTGCTGCAAATGCTGCTGCTGTGGATACACCGCAAACAGGGCAGGCCGTGCGGCATCTGGGCCCGTAAACCCGCACATCTGTGGCTCATCATCGCTGGAGTCAATGCTCACCTCCTCTGCGCGTGCTGCTGCTGCTGCTGATGATGAGGATGAGGATGATGCTGCATCCGCTAGTAGAGGCGCCGCACCAGCTTCTCTGCGGCCTCCTGCTGCAAACCCGCGAGCAGCAGCTGCTGCAGGACCACTACCACCACTACCACTACCACCAGCAGCAGACAAATCCGTTTCTCTCAAGCCGTGCGATAGCAAGTGAACAGGCAGCAACAGCTGGGGTTGCCGCCGTCGCTGCGGCAGCGAGCCACTCCTAAAGGCAGACTCAAGCGAAAGTGCTGCCCTGCTGCTGTTGCTGCTGCTGCTTGCTGTATGCTGAGCCTCTGAGTAACCTGCCCGCAATGCAGCTGGCCCGCCTTCAGTTTCTGGTGCCTTGGGGAATCTTCCTAGGAAGAGGCAGTCGTCATCCTCGTCATCCTCAACCTCCTCGCTGTCGAGCTCAATCAGCTCCCTCACCGTGCTGCTGCCACTGCCACTGCTGCTGCTGCTGCTGCCGCTGCTGCTGCCGCTGCTGCGTTTCAAGTCTCTATCGTTTGCTTTCAAGAGAACCGAGGCTAATGACTCCGCGTCTTTGCAGCCGTTCCTGCAACTCCCACTGCTGCTACTCGCACCATGGCTGCCTGAAAGGGCGATAACCCCCGTGCCAACTCGTTCACTGCCCCCCTTCTCAAGCTCCTCCTCAGAAATCCAATCTGCAATTGCTGCCGAGCAGACACGCTTCAACCGCTGACCACCGCCGATGCTGCTGCTGCCACTGCTGCTGCTACTGCTGCTGCTGCTGCTACTCAGATCTCTATGAGGCCTAGGAAGCAAGCTGAAGGCAATTGGTATGCTGCCACCGTTGCTACTGCTTGTACTGTTACTGCTTGTACTGCTTGTACTGCTGCCGCTGTTACTGCTTGTACTGCTTGTACTGCTTGTACTGCTACCGCTGCTGGTGCTGACCTGCAGTGGCTGAAGAGCAGCGGAAGTCTCACGATGCGGCGTCCCTTTACCTATCCCTCCATCAGCTTTTTCTGGCTTGTTGCGAAGGGTGGTGGCAGCTGCGGCTGGTGCTGCACGCGACGCTTTTGAAGGGCTTGCAGCTGTGCATGCAGCGGCGGTCTGGGGAGGACTGCTGGGGGGAACAGCGCTCGGTGTTTCCGCATGCGGCAGCCTCTCCCGAAGATTTGATAATAGCCCACGCCTCCATGCACTTGAGGGGGGCTTTCTTGCAGTTGCTAAGTCAGCCTCCTGCGAGCGAAGAAACCTGTCCATCGAGAAACTGCAATGGGTGCGACGTACAGTGCCAGGAGCAGATTCCTGCCGCAGAAAGGGGAGGCACGGCACGCGCTGCTGATATAACTCACTGTGCTGCTGCTGATGCAGCAGCAGCCGCCGCCGTCGCCTCCGCCACTTGAGTTTCTGCTCCTCCACTGCATGCAGTGGGTGGTGCTGTTGGGGGGGCTGCGGAGATTGCGTGGTAGCACCCTGAACAACGGCACACGTCTCAAGGGCAAGGGGGGCCGACATTGCAAACTGCTACTGCTGCGCGGCTCTCCGTGCTTCGAAAAACCTCTGCGAGGGGGTTCGAGCAGATGCCGTTCCTCCACAAATCGACTTGCAAGCAATCCGCCCTAATTGCTCTCACCACCAGATGATCCTTAGGGCGTCTGGCTGGCTGCGATTGCTGCTGCGCCTCCGCTAAGCACGAGTAGCAGCAGGGGGGGCAGCATCCATTTCCCAGAAGCCGCCGCTGCTGCTGCTGCAAAAGAGCCAACAGAACTCAACAAAAATCACAACACCAACTCCCCTTGCAGCGGGAACAGCACAGCGATAACAGAAAGGCAAGGTTGGTCGAAAAGAATATTCCAAAGATGGTGCTTAACTCGCTTAACCCCCATACCCTAGGCGCTTCATCCAGCCCTAGACGGTTTCGGGCATGCCGGCATGATGTGCTCTCCTAGATGAAGAGCCTGCGCTTAACAAATCACAGCAGCTCCACGCCACACGCCATCTTTCAAAATAGGCCACTCGAGAGGTTTGAATGTCAGAATTTTGGCTTTAGCGTCTAGGGATGCTGTTTGCTCATAATGGGCACCCGGGGGACTGCGATCTTTCATCAGGGCCGCGTCCGTCGCGGAAGGGGGTTGCAAGAGCGCTAGAACGAGTTTATATATATGCTTACTTTGAAATAATACGTGCTACAGAATGCTATATTAAGGCAGCAGCCACGTTGGTGTAGGGCTGCCCTGAGCGGGGGAGTCCGCCCGCGCATATCTAGAGACTGTGCGATCACCCCCCGTTCTTTTCTGCGCTGTCGCGAATTCTCCCCATTACTTCTGCCCTGTCAAGGTTTGACTTGCTTAGCACGCTGAATGGAGGGCTATGGAACTCTGAAGGCGGCACGGGATGCCGAGGTAATAGTGGCAGATTTGCTTAAGGGGGCCGGATCCACAGCGAAAAATCGAAAGACCGCTGTCGGCGCGACGCCTGTGATGTTTGATTCGGAACGCGTACAGAATCAAGGGTTTGGTTTGTCTGTGGGTGCATTTAACGTATCACAGGGTACACCAAGACTTAGCGATGTATGTGTGTGTGTGTGTGTGTGGGTGGGTGGGTGCGATCCATGCCTTGTGCATCTAGTTTTAGATGCTCGCGCTGCTTAGAAAATGCAATGCACAGCTATGCAAACCCTCACTGTTCCAGCACACCCCTGTCAGGAACTCGGAGGAATGCCGGCCGGGGGAGACGCAAGTGTTTCGGGGGAAACGCAATAGCTTTCAGTTAGGCGAAGGCACTGACTCTGGCGCTAAGGGTCTTCCTACGAGGACCTTCGACAGAACGCTACACCTGACTCCCCCGGAGGGAACGCTATACCACAGAGAGGCTTCACTCGCACAGTAAGGCCCATGGGTGTTGTTCACGGGGTTTCCAGTGCACTGCTGCTATTGTTCATACCGCAGCTGTTTTTGCTTCGGCGGTGCAGTGCTGTTGAGATCGGTCGAGCACCGGCAACTAAGAGTCCTCGTCTGCCTTTGTCTGGGTGCCGGGTCTCTTAGCTCGGCAGTCAGTTACTGGATGCAGTCAGGAGGGGCTGAGAATTCAGGTGACTCCTTGGCAGCAGCGGCTTCAGGAAGGGCGCCACAAGCGCCACAGCCAGGAGCCGCAACAGCCACAGCGCCTGCAGCAGCAAGACTCAGTGAACGGCAGCAAAAGAAGCTGCTGTGGCGACAGCCAAAACACAGCAGGTCATGAGAGGGGAGGGTCGATCCCAACTGGGCCTCCTGAAAGCAGGTTCCCTTGAAGGGGACAGTGCTGTTTGCCTGCGTGGCTGTTTTCTTGTCTTCATTCAGAAATGCATCATTTAGCTAGTTCCCATGCATGCCTATGGCTTTGAAGTTTGCACGATATCCCTACGTCTGTGACTAGCCTGTTTCTCTCCGTGAAAGGGCCTGCCCGCCTGATAGGCCCCTGCTGGTTCTCCGGCTGCCGCCCTCAGAACAGAACTAAACGCGCTAGCGTCATCAAAGGGGAAGAAGAGCACGAAAGCGCAGAGCAGCAGAGAAAGAATCGCACAAGGAGGCAGGCCTCTAGGGGGTCTGCGTCTTGTGGTCGGCATCCAGCTGCAGTGCCTAAAACGGCATCGCAAGCCGCGCTGCACTGAAACCCCCAGAAGAGAAGGAGCGAAAAAAAGAGACTCAGCTCCAGAACACGGCATTGGGGTTTCAAGATTCATGATATGGGAAACAAAATGCACAAAAAGGAGTCGACAGCGACGCGAAGAGCACAGAACGAAGGTCCTAGACGGACGCTGCAGAATCCTGTACTGGGAGCAGCAGGAACCGTCTAGATAATGAAAAACGAAGATTGCAGGGACGCGTAGCGTTGCCGCGGAAACCAGCTGTCAAGCTGCGAGCCGCAGATCGCGTAGTCCAAGCCTTTCGCCCATAGGGCTTGAGTACTACTACACACCGTGTAGAACAGGCGTTCACCAGGCACCGTAACAGCTGGGGTGGCGTAATCCAGACGGTAGCTACTTGAAAAGGCGTTCGTATCTGTTCGCGTCGCTGTCGAATGGTCCGAGTCTGCGCACAAAGGATCGTCCCGTTGTGTGTGGATGGCATTCAAATTTACGATTCAGGAGATGCTCGCTCGCCGCCGGAGGGGGGAGAGTAGGAACTGGAGAGGCTCGTGCTTCAGAAGGGCTTGGTGGTGTTCAGTAAAGTTTAGGCTTCCGAACCTCTGGAAGAGACTGGTGAGCTTTTGTGCTGCATGAAGGTCATTGATGATAGGCACGGCGTTCGCTGCAGCGAAAAGCAGAGAGGCTCTGCATACGTAGGAGAGGCCATCATCGATCGCATGGGGAGGACTGCAAGGGGTTGAGATGTTTCCCACAGAATGAAAAAGCGTCTTCTGCGGCCACTCCTTAAAGGAAGAGAGAGACAGACAGACAGACCTTACAGCCTAGGAGCCTGCCCTCCTGTCTTGATGCGCCGTCGCGGGGGGCACTCTATCTATGGGGACAATAAAAACAACGTGCAGCCTACAAGGGACGGTTCATCACCTCCCTCTCCGTGGCTTACATGTCAGAACCTGGTCATCTGGAGTAAAGAGGACAACAGTTGGCAAAGAGCGAACTCCGAAACGCCGAATAAGAGCGCCATGGTTGCCGTAGGGTAGAGAGAGCCTGCATACAAGCACAACACCACAGGGCTGCAGCCAGGGGCCTTCCTGAGGCGTTTGTTTTCTCCAGGAAGTTCTCCCTCCCCCCCTTAATTTTTTGGAGACTCAGCAATTGTGTCGAGGCATTCTTAGATCCTTAAGTCCTACCAAGGCATCGTGCACGCGAAAGCGGCGAAATCTGCGGGGGAACGATCACACGGAACGTATACTGCCTCGAAGAGATGCGGCTGCCCCTCGTTTTGTTGCTGTTGGCGCAACTGTGTATACACGCGGCGCATCTGAGCAGCAAACGTGAGGCAGTGGGGGCACCACGAAGCACCAAAGAAGAGCGCTATATACTTTCCCTTTAGCTCGGTTGGTGCTGCGGGAGCGAGGCCAACAGCTTGAGCAGCGGCTGCCACCGCTTTGTCTACTGCGGCCTCTCCTGCTGTCGAAAAGCGTTCGACTGCCGCAGCTGCAGCCTCGCGCGCTGCTCCATGCGATGCCTTGAATTGCGCTGCTCCTTCGGCCGAACCTTCCGCGGCTAGGGGCGGAGGGTTGCTGCTGCGGAGGAGCAAAGGGGGCCCCCCTCCCGCGGCAGAGGCTGTCGCTGTGGCTGTCGACAGCTCTGCAACTCCTTTTTTCGAAGCTGCAACGTCTGCTGCCTCCCCTGTTCGCCGCTCAAGTGTGGGGCTGGACGGCCTAGCGGTACAAAGGATCGGCTCCCTGCAAAACCCGAAGAAGGGCATTTTCGTACACGCTTTGAGCCCCCAAATCATAGATTTCTAAATCCAAACGTCAACTTTTCATTTTGTAAGTCAAGAATTTCCTAACGATATGGACGGTGCCTCGGGCCTGCTGCCGGTAGGGACCTCGTCGGCTGCCATGACTGCATGCTGCTCCTCTGGAAACGCAAATGTTTCCTTCCCACGGCGCTGCCTGATGCGTCAATAATGTGTGTCATGCTGAAACGGGTTGCCAGGGCTGTGTTTGGCCCCTCGTTACTCATGCCTGCGCAGCTACCTCGATAGTCAGCTCGCTTGACTCAAAAAGGCGTTCGCCACTCCCCGCTGATCCTTTGCAATGCACTCAATCAACTTCCTAATCTTAGATCACGCTTCACTGCTTCGGGCTAGTGTCACTCGCAGTCCAATGTAGAGGGGGTAAACGGACGACGCAGGCCGGTAGCAGCACCGGCCATAGGTACACTTTTAGTGTGCGAACTGCCGTAACACTCTCTGCAGGCGTCCACATAAAAATTACGCTTGTGGCAGTTTCCACTAGTGCAGCTCTCTATAATAAGGGATTCATTAAGAGTTGGCCTGCCAGTTTTTAAGGGCTCTGCGCAAAGTTAGTCAGCTCATCCTGCGACGATGGACGCACTGTGTGCCAAGTTGACATATGCAGTCGAGTACGTATGCTCTCGGAGCTTTTAGAGGGTCCAGATCTGCTACTTGATAGCTGCTCCCTTTCTCTCTCATGATGCCAGCACCCTGCGGGACAAGCAAAAGGCATAGGAAAAGTCTGTGCAATCGACGCTTGATAACCTGCTTAGAAGCTTGCATATGGACTTGCAAGCTACGGCCCTCCTTAGAAAGAACCTAAGTATAGTGGCACACCGCCCAACGGGTAGCCACAAGAAACTCCCAAATCACAAGGATTGCTGAGGCGGTTTGAAAAGGGGCTCTCGGTTGTTTCTAAAAGACCTGTCCTCTGCCTCCTGAAAGGCACTTGGTCACGCAATTGTGAGAGCAAATGGCAGAGCCTCACGGCTACTAAGGTCACAAAATCCTAATACAGCGCAGACTGCTCGATGTTGACAGCAAATCCACTGCAAATGTACGCACCACAAATCCATGTAATCAAAGGCTCTATTTGCCCAGGAGTGAGTACAAAGTATTTACAACCAAGCCACAGAGTCATCTGTGGAGAACCTTAACTGCGAGCAGACGTGAGTCAGGGAAAGAGCGTGATGGTCACTCCGATATGATGTTGATAGCTGGGTACACCCTCTGGTACTCATGTCAATCTGAAAAAGCGTGCCCCCCTTGCATTGGATAATAATGCACCTGTGCAGAAAAATAAGGGCTTACACCTTTCAGAATAGCTCGTTTTGCCGTCGAATGAAGAAGTATGAACGGCGCTTATTGCGCTTACCGATTGCTTGCGCTAGCATGCAGTACACGAACACAAGTATGGTGCCTCCAGTTGCTCACTTCTTGCGTGAAGGAGCACTCGAATTACCAACCCCCAAGGAAGTAGGCACTCTACGCGTAGTCTAGCAGGTCACTTGACCCCAAATGAAGGTAAATGCAGATAAGTCCTTATGTATGCCATGAGATGATAGGGGTATTGCATCACCAGATTGATCCTGGGAAACGATGCCACAGTAGAGTGTGTCATGACTGTGTGCTATTCCTCCAGTGCTTAGCTTTGCAAGCGAACTGATCTTATTCAGATGCATGGCTGGAGAAGGAGTTAATAACAGGAACGTTTTCCCTCAGGTGGCTCCATGTGGCCAAAGTGGCATTGATGCCCACGGGGCCGACGGAAAAGCTATTATTATAAAATCCCGACTTGGCTTGCACGGATCGGTGCAAGTGGAGGCCACCTTGAATAACTGAAGAGTATTGAACTGCCGATTTCGCATATAGCTTGCTGCTCTCTTAAATTATTGAGGTGTTTGCTGTAGCAAAGACTCTCGCTGTAGATAATGAGGCCTAAATTGGAGACGTGCACTAGAGAGTCCCGCCCAGTGGCTACTTGAAGGCAGCATGAAAATCTGTACAGAGTGCCAAAAGGCTCAAAGAGATTGAACGTCAAAGCTACGGGTGCCACAGCTCTGGCCCACGTAGCACCCCTGTCATCCTCGTGCCTTGGCCCGCAGACCTTGGCTCTCAACGATGAACGCTAGTCCTGAAATGGCGCCTACTCATATGCTCCAGAGCATCTTGTAATCTCCTCCACACGACACAGAGTAAGGATCTTCAATCTAGGCTAATCGCGTACACACGGAGATCCAAAACTCGATGGCCGCTCTGTTCAATCTTAAACCATGCAAACTCTATCTTAACAACGAATCAATCTTTTCAGTGGTTTGGCAAATTTCGAGGGCGTTTCACAACGACGCACTCTCCTTTTTCATGCTTCTACGTTCTCTGGGCCGGCTGCTACACGCCTCCAGGTGAAAACCCAGCACTACCAGCACGAATCTTTGCTACGATGAGCGCTTCAGTAATCTAAGAGAGTAACAAGCCATATTCGAAATCAACGGATCACTACTCTTCAATGGTCCAAGGTGGTCTCTACGTGCACCCCTCCGTGCAGGCCAAGTCGAGCTTTTGAGATAATAACTTCCCCGTTGGCCCCGTGGGCATCAATGCCACTTCGGCCACATGGAACCACCTTAATACTATGGTCTCGTTATTCGCTGCTTCTTCAACCCTGCCTGCAGGTGAAATTGGTTTCTTGTAAGGCTTGACTATGGGGAAGTAGTGCACAGTCCTAGCAAAGTTAGGGGCACCAAAAGTTTTGTAGCAAAACCCTTATAGGGTCTTTTTCCTCCCTGTTCCTTCTAAGAATCGCCCTTCGTCCGTCAGGAGGCTCCAAGAAGGTCTATTCCATTCCCTCTGAAGAAGCAAGCTATCTTACATCGCTTCAGCCTGCGGCAGCTACTCTGCCTCCACGGCGATTTCCAAGGGGCTCTTCGCGTTTCGGGTGGCCCTAATAGCTCGGATAAGATCTTGGCGGTTTTCCAAGGCTTGGATGGGCCCCCACATCTCGGCTTTTCCCCGAAACCTTCTTGATTTTTAGAAAAATAAATTTCTTTTACTCCCCGTTCACGGTTTTTTGTCGAGTTCCTGTTAAACACCATCTATCACCAAGGCTTCCATCTTTCAAACTTTTGGTTGAAACATATCTTCTGGCCATGGCCGGTAGCGCTGCAAAAGGCAAATGCAATAAGCGGAGTGTTGCAGGATGTCCAGGAGAATTTATGTTTAGTAGGAAGCTTCGAGGATACGTTGCAGAGTCTCGAACGACCCACAGACAAGGGCCTTGAATTTGACTGTTTCGCGCGGCTGCATGAAGCGGACATATGCTCAAAATAGGTTGTCCTCAAAAACCGCCACCTCTATGTACTTTTGTGTGTCTGTAGCGCTTCTGTGCCGCCTCTGTTTGCAAGATAAGACCCACCGCGCGGATAGCCAGTTGGCGCAGGGCCCGCGTAGTGGGAGGTGAGAATGTAGGCTCAAGTTCATCAATAGTGTCTAACTCCATTGCAATCAGGGAATTCTTATCTATTAAGATAAACAAGAAGGATACGCCCGCGCGGTCATGCCTGTGTAGCTGCAGGCCAACTCTGCTCTGAGAAGAACGATAAATTGTTGCCGACCCGACACTTTGGGTGACAATGAGCTAAAGCTGCTCTGGTGTGCTGTGAGCGCACGCTGTCTAGCCGTTAGGTCACAGCGGCAAGACTCTTGAAAGTGTTTTTGATTGATTTTAAACTAACAGAAGAAGAGCATATCCTAGCACTGAGACAAGATGTGCCTCGCGGTGTGACACTAGAACAGCTGGCAGCTCACCACAACGTACTAGACGGCCTTTAACCAGATCAAGGGCGCCAGCGGCTGTTGTATTTGTACGAGTAGGGCTATCGTGTTCCATCTTACTGGTGGCATTCATTGAGGTAAAGACTTGAGCATGCCATCGCGCCCTGCTGACTAGATCCATGATGAGCACTAGGGTGACTTGCGCCTGTCGCTGGTAATTTGCTGAAAATCAAACATGCGAGCTTCATGGAGGATAATCTGGTCGCTGTGTACCGTGGCTGGAAGTCCACCTACTGCTTGGCGTAGCTGGGCTTGCCAATTCAGGGGGTACTACCTTAACAGCGTGCACATGTTTTCGTGAGACGTATATGCCCTGAGGTGATGTGATCATGTGCCTAATATATGACTAAATGGTGACATACTTTGTTGGAGGGGACATCGATGCGCCATAGCTTTTTGATGAGGACTGTGAGGGGAACTTGGAAGGGGCTTGCACTTGTGCTGTCTCCCCTGAGTCTTCGCGGCTACTGTATGCAATGTGTTGGCCTGCGCTGCTTACTAAGCGCTTCCAAAAATTATGGAAAACGCTGCCGGCACCGATACCACCCTCCATTACCACAAGGGCGTGAGGGCCATTTTTATGCAGGGCAGGTTCCTTCTAATATGTTGCATGGGCGTGCAGCAAACCCACGTGAGCTCTATACCGGTTGCGGTACTTTCCTACTGTTTGACTGGTTGAACTACAGGGCATCCTTAAAATGCCTTGGCAATCACGTCTCTGGTGCCCGTTGTGTAGTTGTTGCGTGCGTCTTTGGAGATTCACGAGGAAGTCAGGCCATCTTGTGCTGGAATGCAAAAAATCCTTGTTCATCTTAATCCCAATAAGTACTGCGGAACCTGGGGCTCTGTGTAAGTGGTACCCACCGTGGTGTAAAGCAGGTGTGTTCACTTTTCCAGATTCCGTATGAAGGCTAATAGCTGGTGGTGGTTACATACTGTAATCCGCTGTGCAACATCATATATCTTGATGCTTATGCATCCCGAGAGCTTTCACCTTCCCGCAGAACTCCGTCAATTGCGTTCTCTGATGCGGCTCTCTGTAGAACATGAAGTTTGTTAGTATTCATGCCGTGAAGTGGACGAGACTGCGCTTCAAGGCCTTCACCACTGCTCTACGATTCTTAGGCCGCTGGGATCTCACCCCATTCAAAACGCTCCCTCCGACCTCTCCGACGCTACAGGCCTAACTGCAGACCCAGTGCAAATTAAGTAGAAAGTTACTGACTGTTTCTCAAGCGAACTCTCGCCTTCACTTGCCCCCACCTTTCAGAGTTCCTGACGTTTTTAAAGAGCAACAAGTAGGGTGGGCGCAGCTGCGCCCTCAAAGCACTCCAGCAATTTACAGCCAGTTGCACAAATCATCTAATGCACATGCACATAACATCGCGTCTAATAGTACATTGCAAAAGTAAGCTGAACGACCCTGCAGACCACATCGTAGGCTAGCCCGCTATAACACAAGCAAGTTCGTTCCTACGAAAAGCTTGGATGGGGCTGTACATCTCATATTGAACTCCGCGCATTGACTACGAGGCACAGGGAGATTTTTTGAAAGGATACTAAACAAATTTCTGTCAAGTTTCGAATGGGTCTAGAGTTAAATGTCTCACTACTGAGACCTCTGAAGAAGCGGTGCATCACCAGTGTATGGCAAGGAATTACTTTATGCTACCTTTCAGCCATTGGTATACAAGAGCGGCCATAGCATACACGCCGTACTTACCTTTCTTAAGATCTACGCAAGTGTATCTAGTCCGCCCCTAATGCGCGAATTCCAGACTAAGCTCTCGTGCCCTAGGGGGGCCCCATGTAGGCGTTACGGGCGACACCCTGGAATGAAAACTGAGAGTTACCCCGGGAATGGCAGGATAAATGGCTTCCGAAATGCCTTTTTAGCGGTCCTCTTCATAGAATTTCTTTGAACACCCGGGATCTTTCGTGAAGACAGCAGCAAAAGTAGTAGCCGCAAATGCAGCAGCAGCAGCAGAAGCGAAGGCAAGGCACGAAAAAATTATCGGTGCGGTAGGGTATACACAGCTTCTTCCTAGGCAAGACTCGCAGATGGAGCAGCCAAGAGCAAAAACAACACCTGCTTAGAGGGGCCCCCACATTGGGGCAGCCGCAGGGGCCCCCGTGGATGTATGCGCCCAGCCGCTTTCTCTCGCAGCTCTTGCAGCGGTGGGTTTTTTTCTTTCTCTCCCGCTCCCTGCCCGTGACTGTTTCAAATTTTGTATTCGTGTCTGTGGTGTATTGTTTAATCGGAAGCAACACAAAGACCTCGAGATGTCTTCGTCTGCAACGGGAGACACGGCTGCTGGTTTTGCAGCCCCTGCAGAGGCAGGCGGCAGTCCCACCTTAGACTGCATCAGCACAAGCAGCAAGTGCCAAGTTTCCCTAGCACTCTTCTATGGCTGTTTCGCGTGTCTGGCGGTCGTCATGGCCGCTTCTTGGGTGTCACCTCTACCAGTGCTGCTGCAGATGGGGTTGTACACAGCTCCCATAATATACGTGGGTAGTCACTTGTCTCTGAAACAAAATGAGGTCGACGCAATCACAGGGGAAAAGGTCAACAGGGGCGAGTCCATGGACAGGACTGATGCGATGCTTTTCCCGGTTTTTGGCTCTATAGCCCTCTTCAGCCTGTACGCGTTCACATGGACACCATGGGGTAATTTGCGTCTCATTAAGAGCGCAACAACCTCCTTCCTGCATTGCATTTAGATCCACGCGAATGCAGCCGGCCGTTGCCGCAGAACTGCCACGTTGCTGGATACCTGACGACTAGGGGCGCTCGGGTGTATTACCATGGGGAGGCAGCTTGCGGTGTACATGGTCCTGTCCCGTATTCACATATTCGTAAACCTACAAATGTTTGCAAATGCACATGCACATACACATACCTTCTGGGGCTCTAGTCGTGTGTGTATGTGTGTGTGTATGTATGTAAGCGTGTGTATATGTATGATGTATCTAGTCTCTCTGGGTGTATACATGTGGATGTTTACGTGTCCGTGTGTGTAAGTGTTTTTTTGGAATCTTCTTTGCGTTCGCAGCTACCTCGCCTACAAGTTTTTGGGGGCGGTTTGGGTAAATATGCTTCTCACACTATATTTGTCTGGCGTCGGCCTCGTTGCCTTAGGAGAAACCATCTTTGCTGTGGCGGTAAGCAAGGACAGACAGACAGACTGTGGAGGAGGAGGGAGAAACTCGTTCCTTCTTGTCTAGGTCTATCTATTCATCTCTATCTGTCATTCTGGCTCGTGCCAGAATCCCCTCCTCAGTTGTCTCCCCTTATCTCTGTGCGATGCGTGTACTCTACCGCCTTTGCGTCTCTTTCGTCGCAATATATATAATTCATATTTGCATATAATATATCATATATATATGCATATATGGACCCCTCTGGTCGTAGGCCGTTTCCCTCTTGCTTGATAACGCGTTGCCTCCATGCCTTGCTAAGCCGCATCACTCTGCCATGACGAAGCCTCTAGTTGGTTTGCTCCTTTTTCCTGTGGGGTTCTGATGCGAGGCTGCTGAGTTTCGCCACTGGAGTCGCGTCTTACTGCCAGCTTTTGCGATTGCCTCTTACCTCCTCCCTGCCTCTTGCCCCCCTGCCTGCCTGCCTTCAGCGGCCCTTGTGCTCTCCATCTTTCCACGACGATAGCTGGTTTGTTGTACACCTGCCAAATCGCCTCCTCTGGATCCGCCAGTGGTTGGCAGGGGCGTCCGCAAAGTCTGAGCAGCCGCAACAGCAGGAGGGAGAGGAGGCCAAGGAGGAAAAGGGAAAAGGCGAGGACAAGAAAACAAAGGAGAAAGAGGAGGCCATGGAGGAGCCTCATGAACAGAGGGGGGCGGCAGACTTGACTTGGCGCTTTAGCCCGCTGTGGGTACTCTCGCATTTGGCGGCTTTGGGAATTTGCGGCTTATGGCTTGTCACAAAGCATTGGGCTCTTCATAACATCCTCGCCATTGCCTTCTGCATCCAGGTATGCCTCCTGCTTCGGCCTTTTTTCTCCGTTCCTTATGGGCTCTCTCTATCTCTGTATGTGATGCATATATATATCTATACAGATATGTATATATGCGTATGTATATGAATATAGACATATATGTATGTATGTATGCATATATATATATATATACATGTATATATATGTATCTATATATATATACATGGGCCTCAACATTCCTATATGTTTTGAGGCCTCGCTTTCCTCAATGCGTCATTTGCGGCTTCTTCGAATCTTTTCTTGGCTTTGTCCTTCCTTACCCATAGCAGCAACCATCACGTACTGCTGCCCTACTGCGCCTTTTTTGAGCCCTTTCTGGAAAGTAGCACGGATCACGTTTCACGGCTCTCTTGAGCGCTGCTGTTTGTAGCTGCTGCTGCGTTTTTCTATGTGTGTCGCTATCTTGCGCAGGCAATCGCCATAGTCAGCGTAGGGAGCTTTGGAGTTGCGAGCATCCTGCTTTGCGGCCTCTTCGTCTACGACGTCTTTTGGGTGTTCGGGACTGAAGTGATGGTGTCTGTTGCCAAGGTAAAGTGATTTAAATGCATGTGCTTGTGACCCCCTTTTGGCCGTCTATAGGTCGGGCTACTTCTGTTCTGTCTTTTTTCGGATAAGTGTCGTGGACAGCTCGTCCACGGAGTCTTCTCTCGCCTTCTCCCTTGCACCGCTCTTCAGACAGAGGTAGTGTTAGTTGCGTGTCTGCCCCTCTTCTGCCTCCATATTGCCCTTATGGCGTTGCTGCGCGCTGTCAACTGCCACCTGCAATGCGGACTCATGTCGAGATGACGTGTGTTGTCGCCTTTTTGCGTGCTCGGCTCTTCGGGTTGAAACACTTTAAAGAAGCTCTCTTTTCTTTAGGCGGAACTCGGAATCTCACATAGCCTTCTCAGGTTCCTCTGTTTCTTTTGACCTCCGTTTTTCTGCCTCTCCCTCGTGGCGCTTCATTCTGATGCCGCCGCCTTCTTTGCCCAGCTGCCTGCGTCACACATCTCTCAGGAGTGCTGTCGGCTCGGCTGTATATGCAGGCATTTGAAGGTCCTGCCAAACTTATTTTCCCAGTGCAGCTGTCGCCTCTCCAGTACAGCATCCTAGGCCTCGGTGACATCGTCATTCCAGGGGTCCTGATAGCCATGTGCCTTCGTTTCGACAATTATTTGCATCATCAACAACAAAATGCAGCCACAGAATCGCATGCAGTGGACATCCACCAGGTGCGATGCATGGCTAAATTCTACCTCTGTCTCCTGTGGTCATGCCCCTCTGTTCTTGCTTGCAGTCTACACACAAGAATTTTGCGCCTCCCTTTTGTTTGGAAGGGGGACAAGGGGGGACGGGGAGGGGGGTCAGTGAGCAGGCAGGCAGAAGGATCATGCGCATAATACACCCGCATATGCGCATGATCCTTCTGTCTGCCTGTTCTAGTGTTGTTGGCCTTTATTCAGCAGCTTAGATCTGTTCGCACAAGCCGCTTGTTCCTCCTTGCCGTCTAAATACCCTGCCCTTACGCGGTATGTATTTTGCACGTGTTGTGTGGTTTTGCTGCTGCTGCTGCGTCCCGTTCTCTGCAGCGCTTTGCCAAGTTCTACTTTTGTGTGGTGCTGTGCTTCTACGAATTGGGGTTGCTGACCACCGGAATCGTGATGCTTGCCGCTCAGCATCCTCAGCCTGCCCTCCTTTACCTCGTGCCGTACTGTCTCTTCAGCCTTTTCGGAGCCGCTGCCCTTAACGGAAAAGTCAAGGAAGTGTGAGTCACTTCGCGTCTTGGCTGCTTCTTGCGCTGGGGAAGGAAGCGGGGGAAAGGGAACTTGCGTTTACTGTGTCTGAAGATCTCTGCGGGGGCTGCGTTTTTACTGGCGGTGCCTGGCGGCTGCTGATGATGCCGCTTGCACCGACAAAAGTCCGCGCCAGCCAAGCGCTCAGCAGAGGCACTTGCCCTCTGGCTTAGTGCTTTTATGTTGGATCGACTTGTTGGTGCATCTGCGATTTGTGTGTGCTCGTCTGCAGCCTGGCGTACAAGGAGGAGGGCGAGAACACGGAGAGCTCTGCGAAGCCGTTGGCTCAGGACCCCACAGAAAAAAAGGAAAACTGAAAAGACACGCCTCAGAGATATATGCGGCTCCTTATGCGACTCATTGGAGGGCTAATTGTGTGGATACATCCATGTAGAATCAATTTTGCGTTCGGGTCAAGTTAAAGGCCCTTGCACGCATCTTTTTGCACGTGCAGCCTCTGAGGGATAGCGAGATGTGGAAACGGACCTTCATACACACACCCCACACGCATCTGCAGCCTACCTTCTTGTATATGTAGTATATAAATATATATATGTATACAGAAAGAGAGAGAAAGAGAAAGAGAGAGGCGGAGCGCCATGTACTCTGTTTAGCCACTTAGAGGGAAGCATCGTGTGTGTGCAACACGTCCAACCCACGCATTCAAGACGACAAGAGCTTATAGAGTGTGTATGCATATGTGTTGGCGCTTGCTTGCCTGCATGCATGTAGACATGCACTAGACGCAAATGCATGCACGCAAGCGCCAAGACATATTCATACAATCTATGTTATGCGTGCATGCGTGTAATTTTGCACGCGCGCTTCCATTCTCTCGCAAAGACAAGTAGCTCAAAGGCTCACTGTTGTAGGGGGCTTTGCTATCTCTAGGGTCGCAGCAACAGCCCTCCTACGCGGCCCTAGGCCTTGCTCACAAAATGCTTGCGAGCATAGAGGCGGCAAATAGAATGGGCTTGGCAGCTTTAGCCGCGGCTGCCTCTTGCCGGGCATCGCCTTCGCGAATCTCGGCAAATCGGCTCTTCTTTCGACGTATGATCTGATGTTTTCATGCCAACAGGGTGTACATGCTCTCGCGTTCACGTGTAGTGGCTTGTGGACGGTGACAGGGCGCGGAAGGCTTTTGGTGTAGATGCAACTTTGCGTATGTATCGCCGCGCGCCCCAACAAATTCACACGGATGGAGGGCCCTAGTGTTTTCTTCCCGGGGTTTGGCTGGCGGGGAAGCAGTGCCGCTGGGAAAATCGTGGGTGCGTGCATGCATGGACGTATTTCGTGAATTATTGCACGCATTCACGTCATGCGAAATGTCCTTAGTGGTAGTGGCAGGACACGCTACAAGACAACAAGAGGCCCCCGTACCGCGTAAGCTCCCATCAGTGGCAATACCGAACCGAAGCAGCTTTTGCAAGGACTCGCCTAGCGCAGTGACATCCCCTTCCTGTGCCCGCATGCGGATGGCGCTTGACTCCGAATGCTGGTGCTGCTTCGTGCCCCTGTATCGCTGAGCTTTGCGGGCTGCCTTCCATCGTTGGCTCCGTCGGGGCCTCACCCGTCCGACGGGCGCTCATGCGCATAAAACTGCCCAGTGTCCAGCCAGCTTTCACGCCTTTCCTATCGTGCATTCCACACAGTCAGCGGCACTAGCCATCTACAAGTGCGTATGTAGAGGACTGCAGAGGAGGCCTAGATTCGGTCGAAAAGATGCCGCAGAAAGCGCTTTTTACATCAGCCACTGGGCTCCACGTGGGTATTGAGAGAGGGGGAGGGGGAAGAGAACTCGCTTATTTACGTCTTACTCACAAGAACCGGTCTGCTTCCTATCAGCGATTCAGCAGCCTAGGGCAACAGTGTACCTCGAGCTGCGCTGCCTGCCAGTCGCCCCAACGGCGGGGTGTACACAGTATCTGGCCAGCGCCATAGGCGAGTGTATGCCAAATAGTAGTGGCGATCCGCCCACCGTGCAGTTGCGAAAAAAAGAAGGTTCGTCAAACCAAACAAATATGGTGCCAAAGCTCCGGGTCTCCCACAATAGGACGTGCCCGACCCCTTTGCCATCGGGCAGCTCTTTATAAAACACAACACGCACCAGACTTCCTGGTTAAGCCCTGTCGCAGGCATTGCCTCAGTCGGCTCAGAAGCAAGCCCCGGGAGGGGGCCATGCGCAGAGTGCATATAGGCTCGGTCAAGAAAACACAGCCTCTTGCGTGCAAATAAGCCGCCACGAAAAAGACTGCTGCGCCGGCTGCCCCTCCGAAATCATTGAGCGCGTTTGCAGGAGGCACTACCACCCAGCAAAGAAAAGGGGATTTTCGTAAGGCCCCTTAAGGTGGCTTATTCGGTTTGTCCACTGCGAGCGAAAGTGCGCTACGCAGGGTAACTACCACCATGAGGTGCACCAGTTGCCTCTGCGGCGGGGCCTGCTGCTGCGGGGTGAAAGGCACCACTCCTCCCAGCAGCAACAGGCCCTGCCACAGAGGCAACTGGTGCAGCCGGCAGAAGCTTAAAGGATTCAATGGCTTGCAGAGCAGCCAACCGACGGTTGCGACGCGGAGTCACCACCGCTGACTGGACTTCCTGCAGAGCTCGAGTAGCAACAACATCCGTTTGTGCTGGTGCTGGCGCCGTTGCAATGCTTGTGTGAGAAGCATCCGAGAGCAAGCGTCCATCGGCATAGCCTTGCAAAGGCGAGGACCGGGCCTCCTCAGGCGTTACTGCTGCTGCTGCTGCACCACCACCACCATCGGAGAGAGCAGCGCTAGACGCTGCTGCTGCGACTGGCCTGCTGCCTGGCAAGAAGCAGCCGATAGAACTCCAAGGCTTTGAACAAGGCTTCTTGCTGCTGCCCCATGACGTGAACACCTCGCCGCCTTCAGGCCGACGTACATATGAGGTGTCAAGGCTCCTGGCTGCGGGGGGGTCGGATGCTGCTGCTGCTGCTGCCGGTCCTGCCGCTGTACCAGCTTCTGACAAGCAGCCACCGGCAGAAGTTGTCTGCGATGTCGATGCGCACATCTTAGGGCTGTTGCTGTTACTCTTGCTACTCCCGCTACTGCTCCCATCTGTATTCCAGCAGTTCGAGTGGTCAGATTCGGCATCCTCCTCCGAAGTGCCGTCAGGTAAAGGCCGCTTGTTGAGTGCAGCTGCACGACGCTGCAGCTGGAGATGCATTCGATGCCGATCCGCCATCAGGTGCTCAGCAGAAGAAGTTGGAAGAAGCTCTGCGCACAAGGCCGCACAACAACCGCACGCAGAAATCGGATGCCTAAAAGCACCCACCCTAAAAGCCGCCCTGCAAGACACTTTTAAAGATCTAGGCGCTCTCATTGCCTCCCGAACCCCGAAATTCTCTGCATCTGCCTGCACCGCTGTCCTATACATGATGGATATGCCCCTTCATAAAGGGAGGGGAAGGGTTCCGCAGCCTAGAGCCGCAGAAGCAGAGCACTGCCCCCCCGAAGCCGTTGTGCTAGCGCTCAGGGGTCCCCGGCGACAAGCTGCGTACTGCATGCATCAAAGGAGACAACGTCACACGCTGAGACAGGGTTCAAAGGGCCGCAATCGTCATTAACTTTAAGGCCGCCAAAGCAGAAGATCCGTCCGCCGACCTGCCATGCCTGGTGGCCTACCAGCTGCGGCAAAAGAAACAACAAACGGGGGAAAAACGCAGAACCCATGCCCTCCTCCCACAAAGCATTACCGTGCCCGCAGCAGACTTGCGCATCTCCGAAGCGAAAAAAGCAACCGCGCAGCGCAAAACAAAAAGCAGCAGATGATACAGCAGCGAAGACCGGCAGCACATGCCGTCCGCGTCGTACGGCAGGCATGGGGACGTGCGGGAAGCAAGCGCTGCGGTGGGTTAGAGCATCGTGAGAAACGATTGGTGAAGAGACAGCCAAGCTGCAGCAGCACAGCGCAACTACGTGAAGAGACTGACAAACGCAGCGGCAGCAAGCCGCACGGCACGACCTAACAGGGGCCGTGACACAGTATGCAGGGTGCGCGCAGGAGGCGATTACCACCACCCTCCTGCTCCATCCGCAGTCTTTACGCTGGGAAGCAGTGTGTGAAAGCCGGCAAAAGCCATTGAAGCGGAAGCAAGCAGAGACTTCAACAGCGCTTGGAAAGAGGGCGTGCCCACCAGAAAACGCCATACGGCAGGAGGGGCAAGCAGCAAAAAAGCCCGGGAATAGAGGGAGCAGCAAAGGCGACGCCAGAAAAAAAGTTGCGAGATGAGGAAATAATAAGGGAACGCAACAGAAAGCACCCAAGATGCCACGAAGAGAAGGATAACAAGTCGGTCTCTGCGTACGGTGGCATCGAAGAGCGAACACGGAGGCCTCCGGAGAGCAGCAGTGTTGATCCGGCGCACACGGACGCTGCAGCAGGATATCGGGCAGAGCAGCACGCCAACACAAGTCGAACTCCAGTACAGCTGCAAAGGAGCAACAAAGCTGTCGGGGAGACAAATTGAGCCGCGCGGCTTACCGTGCATGAAGCGCTGATCTGCTGCGTTGGCAACCCGCACAGGGAGGAGCGACTGAGAGAAAGGCAAAGAAAGAAAGATTCAGCAATGGCACGAGCATATTTCGCGCACCATTTCGTCTGCTGACAGGCATACGACGCCGCCCGCTAGAGCTGCTAGCACCAAGACTGCTGCTGCACGCGCATGGGACGTCTGTTGATATGGCCTGTGGGGCTGCTGCATGCGTTGCAGCTGGGCACAAGACTTACATGCCTCCAGTGACCCTCTGCATCTCTTTGAAGGGCGTAGTGACGCGCTCTTGGCAGTACCACAGACGTCCAGCCCCCCGCAATCACCTGAACCGTTCCAGACAGCAAAAAAAAGTCTGCACGTCGGGCAAGCAGCTGAAACAAGGCTTGCTGTACGCACACGGGAACCCGTCTGTGTCCAGCCAGCCGTGCCCGATTTTGAAAAGGCACACGTCTTTGTGCGCCTTTCAAAAATCGCCCTTATCAATAAAAAAACACCCCGAGTTCGCTGAGCACCCCCGCCAACGAGCTTCAGGGACAGATGTTGCACGTACAATGCAGCACGACCCATCATTTGTCGTCTTGACAAAGACGCTGCACGAGTGCAAGAAGCGGCCGGGGGGCCTGAGAGGCGAGCAGGCACTGAAATCTAAGGCAACCCAGCACAAGGCGACTGCAGGCTTCCGTTGAACTGCTGCCGCAGTGTTCGTGGTGCCCTTAGCCACCATGGCCGCCGTGTTTCCTTCGGGAGCCGCCGACTGCGAGCCGCATTTCCAGTCAAATATATCCAACACCCACACGTCACTCAGCAGTTGACCCCTAAGCCAGAACACACACGCACAAGCACCAGCAGCAGCGGCAGCAGCAGTCGTTACCCCCGTTTTTGTTGCAGCCGCACTAAGCAGAGGGACGCTGTACACGCTGCAACAGCGGCCTCACACGCACGCACGTGCAAGCGCACGGGCTGCTGGGAAGGCAGCAAAAAGGCAGCAAAAAAACAGCAAGCCTTGCAGCACAGCTAGAACCAAGCCCAAGGCCGCATTCAAAAGGCTCAAAAAAGGCACTCAAATAGGCGAAACTTCGCATGCACCAGCACAGGCAGCAGACGACACGAGGCCAAATATTACCGCTCGTCTTTCCCTCCGTGAAGAATGAGATGCGGATCTGCATACACCAAAGAATGGCCCATCCTCGGTGAGGGCCTCTTGCCAACGCACGGCGGCATCCGCCACCGCAGCAACGGCGGCGTAATAGTGCTGCTGCTGACGCAGCTGCTGTTTTCCTTGCAACCAGGCTCTCCGACGTCACCTTCTTGAGCATCGAGGGGCACCGTGATGGCTGCAGCGGGAGCCTCTGTTGCCTTACACTCGCCACTTCCAATTGTCGCTTCTGCTCGTGCTTCAGCTGCGGCCGTCGAGAGGGCGAGAAAGAGCAGCTCTCCAAGGATGCACACCGGCACGTGCAGCGAGAGTAGCTGCGTCACCTCCAAAAGGTAAAGCTGCGCGAGAAGCGGGAGAGGCACACACAGGAATCGGCAGTGGAGTGCCAACAGGCGTCCACCCTGTATTTTCTGAATAAAAAATGAAGCATGATGCGCAAGCATGCGCGCGAGCAGCCCCACAGAAGCACCAGGACAGCTGGTGAGAACAGGAGCAGCCGTCAGCTAAAGCTGCAACCATACGTCCAAGCCTAGCAGGAGGCAAGCGCGCAGCAGACGCAGTAGCTGAACCAGTAGCATCAGCAGTAGCATCAGTAGTAGCACCAGCAGTAGCATCAGCAGCAGCATTGGCAACAGCTGAAGCAGCCATCCTCACTTCATCGTTGGCGAGAGTGCCATCTGCCTTGCGGCCTCCAAAGACGGCAACGGCTGCGCACTGCCTCTCAGCGGAAACAGGTGCAGCAGCATGGTGAATGCGATGCTCCGGTGTATCTGCAGCAGCAGCAGCCCCAGTGGAGTCTACACTACAGGGTGTGCTCGCAAATGGAAGCCTCCACCAAAGCCAGTTGCGAGATCCAGCAGAAGCAAGACGCGCTAGGTAGGCCTCTAGCCAGTCTTTCTCTAGAGTCGTTCCCGCAACTCTTTGCGCGCCGCTTCCCGATGTTGCTGCCGCTGCAGCTGCTGCTGCCGATACCGCCTGTTGCAGCAGCGGCAACGGTGTCTGGCGCAGAGACGCTGCAGCCTCTGCTGCGGTAAATCCTAGGAAAGCGTCTTTTGGAGCCTTCGTTACTTCTGCAAGGGAAACACTCAGCGAGCAGAAAAGGCGGTATTGAGCCGAGGCCACGAGAGCAACACACGCGAAAAATGTGGTAGCAAGAAAAGAGAGCGAGAGAGAAAGAGATAGATAGGGTGCCAGAGAGAGAGTTACAGATAGATAGGGTGCCAGAGAGAGAGTTGCAGATAGATAGAGTGCCAGAGAGAGAGTTACAGATAGATAGGGTGCCAGAGAGAGAGTTACAGATAGATAGAGTGCCAGAGTTTAAGAGATAGATATAAGGGGAGCACGGGATGTCTGCAGAAAGGCCTTTTCTACACCAGCAACGCACTTTCCACGATCCTATGGAGCGGCTCATCGGGGTTCGCTGCTTGGGTTGCTGCTGCGGCGGCAGAGGCGCAGCAGCCTCCCACCATAACTGGCCTCACAAGAGAACGCATCCACAGGGAGTCGTCCTTGTTGCGGGTGCCCCCAGCGTTGCCAGCGGTGTGACTACTGCTGCGGAATGTGGCAGAGTGTGGAGGCGGTTGCTGGTGCTGCCTGAGCGGAGAAATCTCCGCCTGCGGCAGTGTCTGTGGAGCTGCCGTAGGCATGGGAAGGTTAAAAGGGGTAATTGTGTGACCGAGGCGCGGCCGTGGAGCATGCAGCCGCAGCGGACAGGAGTCATGTCGCGGCTGCTGCTTGTGCTGCTGAGCGGAGGTTGTGACGGCTGCGGCGGATGCCACGTAACACAGGTCATCATGTGCTGGGGGGGGAGCTGGTGATGTTGCTGAAGGTGAATTCGTGCCTTCGATGAGCCCCCCCGCGGATGAGGCATCCGTTGGAAGAGCCTCATCGGCAGCCGCGTAGTCTAACTCCATGCCCTCTAGAGCAGAACGGAGGCGGCGCTGTGTCTGTTATTTGTTGCTGCTTCGGCCTTCGGGCAGTTCCTGCGACTGTTCTCCCGCGGCTGCAGAGATCGGAAGAAGGGAATAGACGGGCGTAGGGAGGGGAGGGGCAGGGAGAAGGCTAGAGGCGCTGTTGCCGAACTCGTTTGCCCCCATGTGCTGTCGGTGTTGCTGCTGAGTCGCGGATGTGTGAAATCGCAGGCCTGCTCTGCTGCGTAGGCTTCCCTGGGTGGAAATTACAAAGGCCTGGCGTTTTCTTGCTGCCTCTGTGCCTCCTTGGTCAAAGACTGAGAAAGCTGCGACTGTTTTTCGTAGGCTTGATAGATAGGGGGAATTACTACTGCAAATGCCGGTGCTTTAAGCGTCAAGGCAGCAATGCGGCAGCCGCTGGATTTGCCGGTGCTCCTTAAGCTAGTGAACGCGAGATCCCACACAGGAAGTGCTGGCGCCGCCGCCTCTTACTTCTATAGTGGAAACCCCCGATGTTTGGCAATATTGCAGCTGCAGGAGCGGCCGCTGCCCGCAGAGTAGCAAAAAAGACCTGTTTAAACGGCTTCAGAGCCTCCGCGCAGTTTCTTGCATCAGTTCCTCTATGCGGGACCCTCTTCTGTGGATTACGATTTACCACGCGCAGTTCACCAGTAGTTTTGTCCATTCTAAGGACAGAGACTCTAAGAAGGCTGCTGCAGCAGCGCAGAAGAGGGGGGCATACGCGTAGCATCGTGCGCTGCTGCTCGTGCCTGCGCTGCGGCGGCAGCAGCAATCGACAAGACCCTTAGGATGACAAGGCAGCATGCAGCTGCCCCAGGAGCAGCTGAAACTCATATAATGGTGATGCGCGGTGATGTTTTCCTCTATTTCTTTAATTGTGGGTGCCAGCGGAGGCTTTCCCCGCTATGCTTTCTCTGATGCAGCGGGTTCCTGCTCTTCCTGCCCTGCTACTGCATACCGCGTAAGGCGTACAGTACCACTCGACGCGCAGTGTTGCCCAAAGACATCTTCTTGCAGGAAGCCTGCTCCCAAAAGACGCCAGATCATCTGTAGGAGGGGCCACATAAGACCGCAGCAATCATTGGAGCAGAGCTTCCTGCCGCGAGGAATACGCTGCGGCTTCCTGGCGCAGCAGCAGCAGTACGCACCGCAGCACAAATTGCCACGGCTGCAGGGTTCACACATGCAGAAGGGTCATGAAATCCGCGTAGAAGCAGTTGTGCGCACAAATTCAGTGCAATCTGTGTGGCACAAGTACATATATATGTGTTTGTGTGTGTGTGCATGCATGTTTGTGCGTGCAGGGTGGTGGAAAGGGACCATAATGGCTTCAGTGGCAGAGGGTCGTTGTGCCCAGCCAGAGGCCACGTCTGGCAACAGTCCTAGTACCAGCAGCAGCAGCAGCTCTCCCAGTCAAGCCTCCTCAGCTGAATCGCAGTACGCAAAGCAGCAGCACCCACATGGGGCTGCCATGCGGGAAGCAGTAAGCCGCTCCCTCTCTTTCCCGAATGCACTTTCTCTAAGCCGTTCGAATCCGAACCATAGTGTCCTGATTTTCAGACCCGTTGTCTCTCTGCATATTCCCACGCCGATCAAACAGCGTCTTGCTGCCGCCACTCGCCCCTTTCTGCAGTCTAGTGCTGCTGTTCGGTTGAAGACTCCTGCTGATTGCCTGCGTATCTGTGTGTCTTTGTGGGTGGGGGCCGGGGGTGTACACAGATGGTTTCATGTGCGGGGCTGAAAGAGCAGTATGACCGGTGCTTCAACCATTGGTACCGACATCACTTCCTGCAGGTATGGCTTTTCCTGTTTCTTTTCTCCGTTCTCGGCCACCTTGCGCGAACCCTTGAAGGCCTGCTGCCAGCTCCACTCGTTATTCCCTTGCCCCTCAAAAATAGACCCTTCTCCCACGTTGTTCTACTGGAGTATTTCTCTTCTCCCTTCTTCAACGTGTTTGATAATCTTTCGTGTCCAGATCCAAAGCGTCTTCGGACTTTGGCGTCTGACCACGTGTGCCACCTTTCTTCAGGGGGATATGTCGCGCAACTGCTTCCACTTCTTTGCAGACTATAGGCTTTGCATCTCTGAAGAACTAAGCCAAAAGGGCATTCACCAAGCGCAACAGACATTTCTCTGAGCCCTAGCATCCCATTGCACCTTAGGTATCCCTTTTGACGCATTGAACCTGGCTGGCTGCCTGTGGTGCTGGCCTTTCTCTGTTCTTGCCTTTGTATGCTTCTCACGCTTCTTGCTTCGATTTCTGCCTCTACCTCTCGGATGCCATCGTTTGCATCTGCTCTCAGCCGAGCACCCGCCCCCTTCATGTGTAGCGCGAAGGTGGCTGTGGCGGTAGCGCAAACAGCGTTGTTGCGTGCAGCAGCACTACCAAAACTTTTTAAACCCCGGTACGAACAGCCGCAGTCATGGCAGCTTGCGATGGTGCTAAGCGTGTAGGTCTCGCGGATTACTCACAAACATGAGAAGAGCTTTAGGAGTAGAGGACCTGCTTCTGATTCAACGCACCGTCCTCCATGCAGTGGAGCATTTGAGTTGTGCCGGCATGTCATTTGAGGGTCTTTACTTTCCCTGCACTCTCCGCTGGATGCTCAACTAGCACATGCAGCAAGCTAAAGTTCGTGTATTAAGGTTCAGAGCTTTGGGATTGTAGGCGTTTTACAGCCAATGCATGGAGAGCACAACTCAGGAAGCGAACTGATTGTATGATATACGCACACGGCAAAACCAATAGCGTAGCGGACGGAACTACACGATTGGTTTCACTTGCACTACATGAGTTGTATCTGACTAGCAACTAGTGAAGAATCGACTTTTTGGTTGGCCAGTTCATACAGCATATTTATTGCAGAGTAAAATTTGCTCGACACCAAGTGACACAAAGTTGTGTGCGTCTGGAGATCTTCTGTGCAACGTGGTGCGAACGCTCCAATTGCTTAGAGGGTACAGCCAAGCACACCAATCTGTTCCTTTCCCCAAGTTTCGGAACATTGAGGAACTTACGCAGGAGGAAAGGGGAGCTCATTTAAGAAACAATAGCTTTTCAAAGTTTGTACTGCTTCGGGAGTTGAGTATATCCCTAACAGAGCTTTTTGTTGGGGCGTTACAGAACGAAGTGCGCTTATTTTGGTCTAGTTTCAAGTAATCCGCGGGAAACAACACCTACATTATTTCTGTGCCGATTGCCCCCCTTGTTCGAATTTACTGCTATGGGCTTATCTCCGGTGGGGGAGAATAATGTTGAGTGCCTGCTGCTCCAGTGACCGCTCTCACTTATACTTCGACCTCCAATTCTGGAACTCAGCCAAGGTTCCACATAGTTGGGCAAGCCCCTCTCTCCGGTCTGTTTGCTTATATTTACAGGACGTGCTGTAGAAGCTTGTAACCAGTCAAAGTGGTTTCCTCAGTAGCAACTAATCGCCTTTTGACTACGTGCAACAAGACATGACTCTCCGTGGCACCCCGCAAACTTGTTTATCCGAAGAAACTTTGTTTTAAAGTACGGTGGAGGTCTACACCCTTATCCAGCCCCTTACGCCTGCATACCCAGATACGTCTCGCCGGGGTGTCGAGAACCGTTCCGGATGTATCTGTAAAGCGTTGTTCTTTTGATTAGCTTGCAGTTCAGGACTTTGATCGATAATGTGTACAGCGCCCCTAACTAAACACCATCTGCTAATCAATTCCCTTGGTAGATCTAGACAACAAGCGGAAACGCATCAATGAACGGCAAACAGCATTGTAACTCCCCTGAAACTGATCATCGTGTGTGTTGCTTGTCAACCCCTTATGCCAGAGTTTCAGCTTTGTCACGTCAAAGGACGTGGTCTGAGGCCTTGAATACTATTGCTGTTAGTGAGATCATGTTGGGCATCCGCAACTGAATTTTGGTGACACCTTCTGTTTATACAGAATTCCCATGACCTCTTCAATTAATGTTGCACGGATCAGTACCAGCTCCACATGCTATTGCTCCATTAAGGTAGAGAATCATGCCTCTTGCGGTCACGTAAAGGAACTGTTAGGGTGTGTTAGCTTGGAAGGTACTTGGACTATCCCTATAGGCCAACGGCTTTGTCGTGTGTCATGTCGCCCCCATTCCATTTTTAAATGCAGCATTTTAGGACTCAGCTAATAGTTTCACCACTCCTTGGTAGAATTTCTTCCCAAGGCAATATTCACAACTGAAAACCTTTGCTTCATAGAAGCTCTCTTGGAATGTTAACAGTTGATGCAGGTGCGATAGAACCGATAGGTACCCCCAGTAATATATCAGTAAGCTGGGTAAAGTTTTCCAGCTTATCTTCCTTCCCCACGATCAAAGAACGTGTATTGGCATGTTGCACACGGCGAAGATGCATTTGATTCACGTGGTATATTCTGACGCACGAAGGACATCTTCTGGAGCTTTAAATTTTGTTCGGTTCAATGATGAAGAACACTGCTTCGGGGAAGCTACAATTGTTGTGGAGCACGAGAATGTTTTTCACTTCTTCGCGGTGAAGCTTTATTAACGAAATAGCTCAGACAAGAATGTATAGTGACAATCTTTTCATCGTTCCCGCCAAGGTCACCCCAGGAAATACAGAGCCCCACAAACCCAGCGTAACACTTGAAAAAACCTTGGTGAATGTTTTTAAGAAGGATTATTCCCTTTCTTTCTTCTCTCTTCTCAGAATTCTGGCACAAGGGGAAACGGACTGCTCCACTCTTACGCACTCCAAGGAGACTGGTTGCTGGTCTGAACATCTTACGCTGTGGCACACAGCATTTATCTATATCGTATGAGGCTAGCTTCATCACCTGATAAGTAGGATGTACAAACAGCCACACCAAGTAGTCAAGTATATACTACTTTTTGATTGCAGATGCCTGGTGGAACAGAGAGCGTGGCAGTGTAGCAAAGCCCGCTATACTTACAGCCTTTGGCGTTCTTCATTGGCTTAGTTCCACAGCTTTTGTTTCTG